AAATTTACTTTTAACAGTTGCGCCGAGAATATGTCCATGTTGCCGGCATATACAATCCTTCAATATTAAAAAATATTTCTATTGAATTAAAAAAAACACTTTCATAAATTAATGATTTAATATTAAATATATTGAATAAACTTTATGTTTGATTATTGTAATTTATAAAACATTCATCTTTATATAAAATTATCTCCGTTGCGCCGAGAGCCCGAATAAGTCCATTTCGTAGGCATTTGTAATCTGCCGAAACATTAAAATACAAAAATTAATGAAATTATCGACAAACTTTAAGTTGATATTTATAATTTATTTTAGTTCGATAATTGTTATTTAAGAAATAATATCCAAAACAGTGATTTTATCGCTCGATAGCATCACTGTTTGGAGTTCGGATGCGAGGAATTATATCACGAGGGCGTAGCCCGAGTGATATAATGATGCGCATCCGAACGACAAACAGTGATGTTATCAAGCGATAAAATCACCGATTTGGATATTCTTTCGATTCTAACACGACATCAACACATAAATGCTGCCGTACCTGATTTTTACCTAAAATGCGCCTTATTTGTTTCCGTACTTATTTTCAGCGCGTCACATTTTAGTGGGTACGTCACGTGTATAATGATAACGTCACATGTCTAAATATAGAACTGTAATTGCATAATAACACACACTTCCGGTTCTTCTATGTTCAATGAGGGAGAATGCGGGTCGTGTTTTTAATTATAAATGATACATTGTTCACTTTATAGAAAATTATCTGCGTTGCACCTAGTCCAATATATTAGACGTTACAGGCTTGTAATAGTTTATGTCGGTCAAGCCTGACGTCATATAGTTATTGCTCAAAAACGCATATAGCATCATAAAAAAATGTCTATTGTCTTGCCTTTTAAGCTTTATTCAAAAGTTTATCTTCTTTTCTTTCAACTTCATGCTCAATCATACACAAAAACTCCCAAACAACGTACTTACCAATTTAATATAAAATATAAACATCATTCTATTTTTGTCTATCAGCCATACTGGTTAAGTAAGGTGCTTTACATATTGATTCCAAATTTTTGAACGGAAAAATATATTCGAACACACTGACGGTGCATGGACAATTATTTCGTTAAAAAAATATTCCGTTACAATGTTCTGACTCAGTTACTAGTAAACGCTTGCATTTGAATTAGCCAATCAGATTTCGCGCACTGTATGGCCGCCATTTGTTTATCGGCTGTAAACGGAATTTAAATACATAAGAGGATTTAATCATGATTTTTCGGATGTGACAGTTTGATTATTTTGACAAAAGGTATTTATTTTTTAGGTTTGTTCATAAATAGGTCAAAACTAATGTAAATTACACGCTGTCTTAATTGTTTTTCGTTCCGCCCGATTTTCTGGCGGAACATGCTATGGGTTTTTGAGCAATTTCGATATGACGTTGCTTTGCCCAGAAGCAAAAATATCTCAAAGCGAAGTCATATTTATAGGACTTCGTTGCACCAAAATATGTCCATTTCGCGGCCATTTTGCCAGCATAGAATCCTTCAAAACAACCTTGCAAATATCTGTGATACATTTTAAAACACTTACCTTCTTACTCAGTTTAATCTGTTTTTTTTTTTGTTTTTTTGTTTTTTGTTTTTTTTTTTTCATGAATGATGTGCTTGTTTTGCAAAAAATGTATATGTTTCGTGCGCCCGTTGCGCCAAAAATTCTCAGTTGCGTATTTTAGTCCTGGTTCCCTATCTAAATTGGTTCCCGTCATTAGACTGGCTAAATGACACGTTATTCACTAGGTAAATAAGAAAAAAATAAAAGAATATGATATTCAAACATGGCACTATCACTTACGTTAAACGTTTTTTTTTAATTCCTTAAAGCTCAGTGACATATTGCACATCAGAAAAGCTATGCTTATTAGAGAATCTGAAAATAATACAGGACAGTACATTACAAATATATGGAAGAGCATTAGTTAATAAAAAACATACACCTGTCACTAATGCTCCTCCGTACAAATACGTAGTTTTGAGTATGTTATACATATATTAATACATTATGAAAAGAAACGAACACAATATATTTCTTATACATTTTGGAATTGGGTATAAAAAAACAAATATCACATACTTATGTTGATTCATCTTTTAATGTGTTGGAAGAAGAATGGCTTAGATTCGTTAAGTAATGTAATGTGTAAGGATATATAGATGTAATAATAATTATTATTAAGTTTTGCTGCTGCAATGCTTGGAGTTTTTGTGCCCCCACTATAGGGGGGGGGGCATTCAGATTTACCCTTGTCCGTCCGTCTGTTTGTCCCTTTTTGTGTCGCACTCGTGAAACCTTTCAGGAATAATGATCAGCATGTGAAGTTGTGCACCTGGGTATTTTTGTGTGGATATTTTTAGTATTTTTAGAGTTATTGCCCTTGACTATGTAAAAATTTGCAATTTTCAACTTGTGTCGCACGTAACTAAAAAGTATTTGACCTTGAGTCATGAAACCTTACATTAATGTTGCTCAGCATGTGCAGTTGTGCACCTGGGTATTTTCGTGTGGATATATTAAGTATTTTTAAGAGTTATTGCCCTTTACTTAGTAAAATAATTCCAATTTTCAACTCATGTCGCACGTAACTAAAAAGTATTTGACCTTGAGTCATGAAACCTTACAAGAATGTTGATCAGCATGTGAAGTTTTGCACCTGGGTATTATTGTGTGGATATATTTAGTATTTTTAGAGTTATTGCTTTTGACTTAGTAAAAAATTCCAATTTTCAACTTGTGTCGCATGTTACTAAAAAGTATTTGACCTAGAGTCATGAAACCTTACAAGAATGTTGCTCAGCATGTGTAGTTGTGCACCTGGGTAGTTTCATGTGGATATTTTTAGTACTTTTAGAGTTATTGCCCTTGACTTAGTAAAAATTTCCAATTTTCAACTTGTGTCGCACGTAACTAAAAAGTATTTGACCTAGTCATGAAACCTTATAAGAATGTTGCTCAGCATGTGTAGTTGTGCACCTGGGTATTTTCGTGTCGATGTTTTTAGTATTTTTAGAGTTATTGCCCTTGACTTAGTAAAAATTTACAATATTAAACTTGTGTTACACGTAACTCAAAAAGTTTATTACCTGTAGGCCTGAAAAAGTACAAGAATGTTAGTCAGCATGTGTACTTATGCACCTTGGGACTGTCTTATGGATTTATTCAGTATTTGTAGTATTTGCCCTTTACTTAATAAAAGATTTTTAGTTTTCAACTTGGGCACATATAGCCAAAAAAAAATATGACCTAGAGACATAAGATTGAGAAATCGGTGGAGTGTGGGGGCACCCGTGTCCTATGGACACATTTCTAGTTGGTCTTAGATAGCCTGGAGTAAATCTCTAGGATAAACAGTAATATCAGGCCGCTACGATGTAAAGCGACACGTGGCGGAGTATTGTACACGTTTAAAGACAGTTGAATTACCAACAATATTCCGGTTTTCAGATCCGTAAAAAAGATTTTGAAAAGTCATTGGGCTGATATTGTCAAAGATAGGACAGTACAGAACATAATGGCTGATTGTCTCTATTCGCCGCATATACAGTTTGGTGAATTACTAATGGACTTTCTAAAAATAGACCACGATTTAGTGAGCTACATCCTTAACGCAATCGAGTGTGCAATATGTGGTTGAAATATGTGGGCCTGTCTGTTTCTAGAAAAATAGCGTAATGAATTACGTATATTTGCATTTAGTTTACTTTTAAAGATTCTTAGGGTAGAGCTAGATAAAGTATCTTCAGCCAGAGTGTTCCAATCTCTTATTACGAATGGTACAAATGAGTCATTACATAGTTGAGTTCAAGCTTGTTTGTTAGGAATGTCATTAGTGTTTCGGAGTTGATATCTTGTTTGTGAATGTTATGGGATGATATACGAAAGCTATATTCCATTTGAGATTGTTTTTCATTTTATAGAATGTTATTAATTTCTTTTTTTCTTACGTTCTGACAAAGTTTCCCATTTCAAATCATTGTATAATTTTGTTTTTCTGTGCTGCATAGTTTAGTTTCTCCAGTGACTATTTTTGCAGCTTCTGTATACAAAGTTTTTCTGATAGTGTACAATTGTCCCATACGGTATTACTCTATTCCAATAAATAGTTGATTGGTTGTTGATGTGATTGGTAAAGAGAGAGAACATTATTTTAAATTATAAAGTTGTACATAGACATATTTATGAATACAGCGTTCCATTAGTTTACCAATACAGCTAAGAGGAGAGATAGGTAGGTAGTTACCAGGATTAGAAGGGTCAGACGTTTTGAAGATAGGGGTGACGTGAGCTTTTTCCCATTCACCCGGAAAGTAAGAAATATACAAGAGTTGATTGAAGACAATAGAGAGTTGGTTAGCAAGTTCACTTGATGCCTCTTTTAAAAGTCGGGAACTGACAAAATCTGGTCCAGATGCTTAAGTGGGATTAACATTTACAATTGAGTCTAACATGTCTTGTGGTGATATAGTGATATTATTACGAATACAGATGGTGTAGTATTGAGAGATGGTGGTTCTTTGTTACTGTCTTGTAAAGAAGTTTGTTGACTGAAGAACTAGTTTATAAGATTGGCCTTGTCTTGTTCTGTATCCGCTGCGGGATCGTTTCGTAAGATATTTCTAAATCGAGCAATGTCACCTTGTTCATAGTTCGAGATATGGCAATGAAATTATAAGAGCACAAATAAGCCATAACATTGTTCCTGGACAGGCTGTCTAGCAGTTTACCAGTACTAGTTGCTTTCACATCCGCAAGGAACTAATAACTTCTGTACATGCCAAAAGCGAACAGTTCTAATGATCGTAGAAAGGATTTCATGATTAATTACAATGAGAGTGATATTTAAACAAAACGTAAAAAAAAAACATTTAAAAAGAAACACATAAAAATCAACAACATGTAGTAAAAAAGAGCTAAAAAGCATCAGAAATGTTCAACCTTTTTTGACACAAGAAAAAGTATCATGTCAAGCTATCAAACCTGTAATGCTTACTAGTATTTCTAATGAATATCAAATGTTTAAGAAAATGTGTATCATGAAACATTTATCAAATTATCTTTATTTGGATTGTTTTGATATTGGTGTTACATTTTTACTGTATCATGAAACATTTAATATAATCACCTTTATTTGTAATGTTTTAATATTGGTTGTACATTCCATAATAAAGCTCGTGAGTAATAAACAACTAGTTAAGTTACAATTGTTTAAACATTTCTAGATACATATATTCCTTATCTCTTTTTTTCTATTATACTTAATACGATTACTAAATTATAGCAGGGAATAGTTTTATCACCGCCATGTAAGCAAATGCCACACATTCCATGAGCATTTCTAAGCTGTGTAACCCTTTACCTGTTTAAACTTTGGAACACTTCAACATTACGTTTGAAAATAACGGGATATTAAAATCAGACTGTACGGTATAGTGGCTGATTTGGAACACTTTTTTTCGTTATGTTGTAAAGCACCAAACGCACTGACGTCTTGTCGTCATGTCGCTAACGGAGCACACCAAACGGTGCGTTGTCGTGCGGCGTGTTGTCGCGTTGTCACACTGTCGCTCGGCTCAAATCCAAAAATTGTCTATTTGTAAATGTATACATGTGAGCCAAGCGACAGAGCGACATCGCGACAACGCGCCGCACATCAACGCGTCACAACGCGTCGTTTTGCGTGCTTCGCTAACGACAGGACGACAAGACGACTGTGCGACAACGCGCCGTTTAGCGCGATTTGCTAGCGACAAGACGAAGACGATATAGGTTGTGTTGTCGCTATCATCAACGCAACGCACAAAGTAGACCAAATCAGCCACCATAGTGCAGGCTGCTCATAAACAACTGTATTACGATATTTTATTGTCAATCGGTTCACCTCGGCAATTATTTAAAATAATGTTCCTTTTCCGAAGATTGACCGAAATGTTACGAAATTTTATTTTTGCTACAAGTGTAATATCGATGAATCTTAGTAGGTGGAGTTTAGATTACAGTATCACTTTTTCAACAAAGTTGACCATTCCCGCTCATCATCGTCACTGCCGATCTGTGTATCATAATCTTGTCTAAATCTACACATCTTCTTACATGTATAGCCACACATTGAGACTACAGAAATCAAAATGGTGGCACATCCGGTTGTTGCGTATACATACCAGGAATATTGTAAAGTTAAACGTAGTTCCGTGTTATTTTTTAAAGTAATCAGGCAACAACACAAACTGAAAGTACCTGCAAAAATAAATATAATGGTGAAAATAATAAAAGTCGATACGGTCGAAGGGAAAGAGAGAGAGACGGGGAGGGGGGGGTCTGTATGTAAGGAATTCCAACAAGATGCATTTTTCTATGAACACAAGTGTTCGGCACATTAGTCTTTTCAATAATGGTCAAATCGTCAAAAGATAATCTCCCCTTGATTTACAAGAACAACATTACTACCCAGCACCTATTTACTATATAAAATATATAGAATGGTGGTGCTGAATAGTTATGTTGTTCTTGTTGATCAGGGGGAATTATTTTATGATGATTTGACCATTATTGGCGAGACAAATGTGCCGAACGCTTGGCCGATGAAGTATTGTGGCTTCAGGTGGAAGACGCCATTTTATAACTCACAGACAGAAAAAGACAAGCAGACAGACCAAAACCAATATGCCTTGTCGATCAATCGAACCGCAGGCATTTTATAAAAATAATAATTTACTTTACTACCAACGTGTTTGTATCTAAGTTATTGTTACGCAAATAGTTTTTGCAAAATAGCCCATGCTGTACAAAATAGTGACTGTGCTAAATAAAATGTTTGATTTCACATACCTGGTAAAAGACTAAGCACTGATAAAACACAGACATGACAGAAAGAGCATGTCTCAATGGTCAGGCTCCGATAACATGTCTGACAACTCACGCAGCAACCAGTTATAGTTAGCAAAAACATTGTCGAACATGACAGCATTTCAAAGGCACACAGGCATGTACTTTTATAATCTGAAAGGTCAGAACAAGAGATTACGTTTAAAAAAAAGTAATGTGAATAATTGTTACTCGATATATTGGAATAAACTAAGTCAGCAACTCCCAGCACTAAATTCCTAGTTGTTAACGTGTAGGTTAGACCGAAATACCGTATCCTAGAAAGGGCCGAGAAGTTGCGATTGCTGTTGAGGAACATAAGTTCGCTTAAAATCAAATTTTGATAGTGATAATTTCATTTCGGGAAAAGGATATCATGAAACGGGAGTCTACCGGAAGTTGATATTGACCCAGCATCTATGTCTATTTATTCTATATTTTTAAATTAAATTGTGTTAAAAGGATAAATAATAATTTTGCATGTTATATATCATTAACCGTTCCAGTCACAAATTACGTATTTTACAACCGTGAACACTCTGAATGTCCAATTTCGGGAGATGTACTCTTGCGAAACTTGTTAACAGGATTGATGGTAATCGACAATGTTTTCCGAATTTCAATTTGAATGGAAACCATAATGAGACAGGATATCACAAATACTGTTTCCCGGCGTGGTTCGATAAAAACAATAATGCAGGTAACATGCTATCTATCTGTCTATCTTCCATTAATGTCAAACCCCTCGCGGGTACGTAGACATGTCTGCGCGTCAAAAACTTAAGAAAGCTCAAAAGAGTTGTTTGGATAAATGAAGAATATTAAAAAAAAAACAGGGGCCTGGAAAACTAAGGTGAGACATGTTCGATGCAAGCTGTGGCTGCACTGAACTACTCTGGGGTAGGGAGTAGGGCAACTGCAGGGGTTAGTATACCGTCCTAAAAATAAGGAGAATTTAAAAATAGTTTGAAGTTGATGTGAATAACCTATAACACAGAGGGATAGTAACCAGACCATGGTGAATCTACATCTATACGTCCGTGGGGTTTAGTATGTCCGAAGATCAAGGGGAAGCAATCGACCTATGGTTGAACAGCATTATAGTCTGGTCCAATTTTGGCTGTGAACTGCTCTTCTTTGAACATTTTCAATTTGATCTATTGTATTTTGGTGTGGGAAGCCCATACTTCGGAACCATATTCAAGCTGGGGTCTGACTAACGTCTAATAAGCAATGCACTTAATGGACTGGGATTTAACCTTTATATTCTGCTTGGGAATCCTAATGTTTGGTATGTTTTATTGGATGTCTTTTTATGTGGACATCCCATGTAATGTTTTCTGATATATCCAACCGATTCTATATGGACTCCGTGGAGATAGTAATGTGTTGGAAAAGGATCTTTCCTTTTTGTGACGTGGATAGCTTGACACTTGGTAGGGTTAAATTCCATATCCTACACCAACTCCCACTTTTTTAATTTAGGTCATTTTAGAGGGTGACTGATTTGCATCTGATTTGCAGATGTGAGAGCAATGTATATTGCAGTATAGTTTGCAAACAAGTGGACCTGGGGATTTATGTTTTGCGGGAGATCATTTATATAGGCAAGAAACAAGAGGGGACCTAGAACTGAGCTTTGATGGAAACCTGAGGATAGGTGCGTGGGGTTTGAGCTGCTGCCATTTAAGCACAAACACTGCAACCTGTTATCTAGAAAACTTTTGGCCCATCTTAAGGTTTGGCCTCTGATTCCAAAGTCGTGCATTTTCAGCAGTACTTCCTCGTGATTGACTTTATCAAAAGTCTTACTAAAATCTAAAAGAATCAGATCTACTTGTTTTTTTCTTATACTGAGGTGACCAGTCACTTACCAACATAACAAGTTGTGTAACACATGACCTTTTTCCCTGAAACCATGTTGGAGTTGGTAAATGATGTTAAGCTTGGTAAAGTGCTTAACAATGGAAGATTACCTTACTCAAAACACATGTTTAGTAAATTGGCGTATAATTGGCAGGGACTCGGCAGCCTTTCTTGAATATTCCTCCTGGTACTGATTCCTGGCGTGCTCCAAATATAATATAATAGGACATGGAATCAAATTAACCTCCGATGAAGAGCAGGCAAATTTATTACCCATAATTTTTCTGTACTTCTGGCAAAATTTTTCAAATTATCACTTCTGAAGATACCTGCGTTGCCATGATGCTAGCTATGCGAGCCAGGCCTGCTCTTCGAGCTCGCTATTACACGTTTCATATGTTGAGTGGTCATGGGAAAATAGACATAATATTAAAAAAATAATGGAAACTTTATAGGACGCCCAAAACTGGCTAAACTGAAAAAATAGTAAGCTCGATTTGAATCTGTTAGAGGTATCAGATGTATCGAAACCTGCATAGTTCAGTTACCGAAATGCTGATTGAAAAAACAAGCAATATATGCAAAGGCACGCTACCTTAGCAGCTAATATTATACACTAACATAACGAAAGAAAGTAAACGGTAATGGAACATTCAGAGTAATCCAAAGGCTGATTAAACAATGTTGAAGTAGAAAAAGTGGAACCACCCGAACGACCAAAATTGTTTGAACCAACAATAATGTCGTGTCGAGTTAATTTAGACTATTGGAAATATTGGAAACCCCTCTAATAAAAATAGAACTATATAATATACAGCCCTCAAAAATTAACAACAAAACAAACAACAACTTGGCTAAACCAACGGGATCAGCTAAACAGAATGATCGAGTTTAAAGCCCGTTTAATATTGTCACCATTATCAAAAATTGATCATAATGAAACACTAAATTATTAATCTATAAATTGTATACCATATAGCCAGCAGCCAAATCCATGAACTGTGCAATTATATACCGTATGACTGTCACATTTTATTTCGAATGCCCATTGATCAATTACTATAGCGGACAATTGGAAGACAAAGGCAATCGGTATAAGAACAGCTGTACCGGAAGCGGCAACTATTTTACCACAATTATTACCGGAGCATTTACATGCAACCTGGATGCTTTCCTTGACATCAACAATAAGCGATTTTATAACATAAGAATTCATCCTCCATCTGAAAAAATAAGAATTAAAAAGAACAGGCCATCCTGTGAACAATATTCCGCGTTCATGTTAAATCAACATTATTTCACAGACACATACATTTTATTTGGATTTTAAAGGCTTTTTGAGCTCCAACACCCAAGTGTCTGTGGCAAAGATTACAGACAGACAGACAGACAGACAGACAGACAGCTAGATAGACTAACAGTGTATATGTCCCTGACCTCTCAATTACCTTTAAAAGAGAAAAGAGATAAAACTCTGATAAAGAAAACCATGCCCGCGTACGTATATTTATGAAATAATTCATATTCAGAATAAAATACAAGTAGCGCAAATGTTGTAAATGTACTTACATCAAAACTCCAACAGTTATTAAATTATTCTTTTGTACTGCATTGTAAATTTGATCCGGTAAATGACACATAAATATGCATGAATACGGAATAACCTACAATTGTACACGTGATATTTATAAGGAACATGACTAATAATCGATAAATGCACGTGAAGCTTTAACATGCGGTTTCGTTTTCTTCTAATAAACGGAAATCACAAACATTTCAACTGTAAATTCAAGTTAAAATAAACGTTTTTGCCTTAGTGTGTAACATGTACGGCCATTTTTTTCAAGTAGGACGTTCGTATTCCGACAAAATACGAATCAAGTACTTAAGGTATTGTATTATGTAAATATAGGCGTTAAATAAAACATTGTTTATATTATAATATGGACAATAGACACATTAATGAATTAAATATAATTGTAACTTAAGCAAACAAAAGTGGATATATTTACTTAAATACTTCACGTAACTTTAACTGAATCATTGTGTTAATTTTAATTTTATCATCATAAGTATTCCTTATCTTATTGCTGTTGTTGTTGAAATTTGTTGTTACTATAATAAAATTGTTGTTGTTGTTGTTGTTAATGGTGGTGTTCTTTATTTGTTGTTACCTCAAAAAAAGTTACTTATTGACCAATAACCAGAATAAGCGATCGTTTATGTTGTTTTTCGGCACTTAGTACAGTTATACGAGTTTTATTGACTTTGTTTTTGGGGGTTTTGGGATTTTTTGTATGGAATTTTTAATACTACTTTGTTTACATCTTGTTATGTTTATAACAATTAATTTCACGTTCAGTATTACTGTCTTCAGTAGGTAAGCATCTTACTTGCTCTAAAATCATTATTTACACTTTACAAGATACTCATGTCTGCCGTCTATAAGGAAGGAAAAAAACTATAATATGTATTTGAGGCATGATGTCCGATATTTTCAAGTGTTTACTTTCGTTTGTGTTTTTTTCCTGTTGTTGTTGTTGTTGTTGTTGTTGTTATTATTATTTAATGGTAGAGGGGTTACATATAAAAAACAACAAAAAGAAACGATTCCGACTACATTTGTATTTATTTACTTAAATTCAAAATAAAGGAGTGAAAAATGTATAAAACAAAACAATCAACAATTATATGAAACAAACACAACAAAATAATAATAATGCAATTATGTCAACGAGTAGATGTATATGAAATAATGTGATTTTTTTATTTTGAAATATAATTTTTATCTTTACACTGAATTCAAAATTTACCTTTCAAAACAAGTGTGTCTGCAACCAGTATAATAGAAAAAAAACTTGCCTCACAAAAACGTTATGTTGCTATTTGGAGTTTGAAGCATAATAACTCTGCATTTAACTTTGTTAAGGAAGAGATGATTATTGTGTCACGACCTAGTTAAACAAGGATGAAAATAAAAAAATCAAGCTAAAATTAAGCTTCAAGCGAGAGTGAAGACACCAAAATTTAGCTTCAAGCGAAAGTGAAGTTACCATAATTAAGCTTCAAGCAAAAGTGAAACATCAAAAGTTAGCTTCAAGCGAGAATGTACACCAAATTTAAGCTTCAAGCAAGAGTGAAGACACCAAAATTTAGCTTCAAGCGAGAGGGACAACGAGAGGGGAAACCAAAATTAAGATTCAAGCGAGAGAGAAAACACCAACATGTAAGCTTCAAGCGAGAGTGAAAACATCAAAATTAAGCTTCAAGCGAAAGTGAATATACCATAATTAAGCTTCAAGCAAAAGTGAAGACACCAAAATAAAGCCTCAAGCAAGAGTGAAGACACCAAAATTTAGCTTCAAGCGAGAGGGACAACACCAAAATTAAGCTTCAAGCGAGAGGGGAAATACCAACATGTAAGCTTCAATCGAGAGTGAAGACATCAAAATTAAGATTCAAGCGAGAGAGAAAACACCAACATGTAAGCTTCAAGCGAGAGTGAAAACATCAAAATTAAGCTTCAAGCGAAAGTGAATATACCATAATTAAGCTTCAAGCAAAAGTGAAGACACCAAAATAAAGCCTCAAGCAAGAGTGAAATCACCAAAATTAAGCTTCAAGTAAGAGTGACGACACAAACATTTAGCGACGACACAAAAATTAAGCTTCAAGCGAGAGTGACGATACCAAAATTAAGCTTCAATCGAGAGTGACGATACCAAAATTAAGCTTCAAGCGAGAGTGACGATACCAAATTTAGCTTCAAGCGAGAGGGAAGACATCACTATTTAATATTGAGTTTAAAGCGACAGTTATCACGCCAAATGTAAAGACTCAAGCTCCAGTTATCACGCCAAATTTTTAGCTTCAAGCGAGGCTGAATACACCAAATGTTGAGCTCCTCTGTTGTTCGTTATTAAAGTTAGTATAATCATGAAACTTTATTTCACCTTCCTCGTAATCATGTTCGTCGTTGCTTATTTTTTTCAGGTCTTCATAATCCTCTAATGCCTTCTTGATGCCTTCTGAAATGAGATGATTTATCTTGGTAAAGTTTATTTGGTCGTAGCCATATATACAACACTACATAACAATAAAACTTTGTCAGTATGTTAACGTGGTCTCATACAAGGTATGCAATAACATCATGTGGTATATGCAGTTTACTGTAAGCGTTGTCAAATTATAATTATTAATGTTAGTGAAACAGGAAAGACGTTATACCAAAGAAATCTTCTGAACTTATTAAAATACGATCAAGTACAATGATCCGGTAGCGGTGAATTTATATCAATCTGACACACAGTCCTGTGATTTTTCGATAACGGGGCTCAAAAAAGAACACGGACCTGATCAATACCGAAATACAATCGAAAAGCTGTGGGAAAATAAGTTAAGAACATATTGACCTTCTGGAATAACGCGACAGATGGCACATAACGTCACGGCAAGCGGGCTCAATGACGTTACGTTACTTCCTTTGTTTTTTCTGATTTATTTTCTATGTGTAATAAATGCCACTGAAGAAGGACGAAAGGCCAAAAGCTAAGCAAATTCAAATTAGCGTTTATTTATTTACGGCAAATTAGAGATTTTACCTAATATATTTTGCATATACATGTACATTTAGTCATGGTCATTCAATGTTTTTGACGCCTTGACGAAAATTTGAAAGTTTAAAAGTCTTAAACTAATGCTAATATAAATAATGAAAGTAAAACATAGAGTTGTTTCTTATTATGAAATTGAACATCTTCGTACCTACAATTTTTTTTACATAAGATTTTACAAATTGAAGAAAATTGATGACAGTCTGAATTTTCATTAATAAAACGTATTCATAGTATACAAATTATGTTTTTTTTTATATTTGTAAAAATGGTCGATACACAGGAGATATGCCAGGATGATTGAAATATTAAGTAGACTAGCTTTTTAATTAGGATATTGCGAGCCATTTATGAATAAACCTATCTTCATAAGCACTACAAACACTATTGGACATACACGTTATTCCATTATAAAGAGACCATTATTTTATGACATAACAACCATTATCTGATGCAAATTTGTGAATTACAATTCAAAAATCTTAGTTTAACTTACTCGACTTTTCGTTTGGTACATCGCTATTATTATCTGAACTATCATTGTTGTCTTTAGTGGGTTTCTCCACTTCAGAAATTGAATTTTCGTGTGTAACGTCATTATTATCTTGTGTAACGTCATCATTTTCGTGTGAAGCATCATGATCTTCGTGTGCAACGTCATCATTTGTATGTATATCATCATCATTTTTACTCTCTATTTTGGTTTTAAAACTAATGGGTTTTTCATACCCAGGTGTTTCAGGGACGGTGATATCTTGTTCGCCTTCTGTTTCGCGCTTTGCTCTTTCCACTGCATAAATATGCTCGTCTTCTTTGCCTTTTTGCAGTTTTTCATAGTCATCTAAAGGCTGTATGCCTTTTTCTGAAAATAATATGAAAGTATGTAATTGTGGTGTGTTATTGTTTGATGCTTAATAATAATTGATATGTCAAATGAATAAAGGTGTGTTAGGATTTTCTCAATGCTTATGTCGTATGAAAATGTACAAGATAAACAGACTGACATTATTTGATATATTGTTTTAATTGTTTTAATGTACTGAAAATGATTTTAAAGTAATCGGAACCGTTCGATTACGGTTTTAAGTAAATTTAATGAAAATATATCCTTAGCGTTTTGTTTTTTTTATCTCATCCCTTTATAAAGTATACTATACATAAGAAGCAATATTTAATTTCAGAGCCATTATTTAAAAAATGTAACAATGCGTTTGGTTAATTCACCTTAACTGTCATTATACGCTGTTTTTGGGACAAACCTAGATCTAGTACAAAACACAAAATATGAAAGTTACTTTGCTTCTTTTTCCATTTCCTCTTGGCTCTTCTCTTATTGTCTTCAGTAGCATTATTCGTTGTTTTCTTCTTTTCCCGTTTCACTTTGTCATCATCGATATTCTCGTCCAAGTCATACGCTGGGTTATCTTTACCTGACATAATTTCAGGTGAAGGTTCTTCAAGTTTTGCATCAGCTTTTGTTTCCATACCTGAATTAGAAGTGACGTCAGCAGTCTTTCCGTTTTCATTTATCTCACTTTTCTCAACAGCAAAACTGTAGTTGCTACCATCGTCGTCGCTTCCATCTTCATGATCTTTTAAAAAAATAAGTCAATATTTCAATACATTTTACCAAAATAATCTAAACACTGGCATATCAACCCTATATTTTGATTTACATTTGAACATTATACACAATTTAAAGTAACTTTGTTATTAGCTCAGTTGAGAAATTCATTTTAAATGATATCAGCTTGTTTATGGAGTACCAAGTCCAAGAACTAAATCACTGACGGGAAACTTAAATATTAAACTTTCCTTTATCTTTTTGCAATAAATATATCACTTGTTATAAGAAATGCACAAATAATATGCATAATGCATAACATGATATACAGAGAGAACGTATGCTGTCAAACTGCATAGAAGATAACAAAATGCAATACTTTAATGAGGAACGTTTATGCAATATTCTTCAAATGCAAGATAACTAAGATGTACCATATATTATAATCAATATCTATTACATTACATAAAACTGCATGTAGATATTTAGAAATATTGCATAATATCTAAAATGTCTGTATCATTCTCAAAATGCCTGCATTATTCTCAAAATGCCTGCATCATTTTGAAAATGCCTGCATCGTTCTCAAAATCTCAAAATGCCTGCATCATTTTCAAAATGTCTGCATCATTCTCAAAATGCCTGCATCATTCTCAAAATGCCTGCATCATTCTCAAAATGTCTGCATCATTGTCAAAAAGCCTGCATCCTTCTCAAAAATGCCTGCATCATTCTCAAAATGCCTGCATCATTCTCAAAATGTCTGTATCATACTCAGAATACCTGCATCATTCTCAAAATACCTGCATCATTCTCAAAATGCATGCATCATTCTCAAAATGCCTGCATCATTCTCAAAATGCCTGCATCATTCTCAAAATGTCTGCATCATTGTCAAAAAGCCTGCATCCTTCTCAAAAAATGCCTGCATCATTCTCAAAATGCCTGCATCATTCTCAAAATGTCTGTATCATACTCAGAATACCTGCATCATTCTCAAAATGCCTGCATCATTCTCAAAATGCCTGCATCATTCTCAAAATGCCTCCATCATTCTCAAAATGTCTGCATCATTCTCAAAATGCCTGCATCATTCTCAAAATGCCTGCATCATTCTCAAAATGCCTGAATCATTCTCATAATGTCTACATTATTCTCAAAATATCTCCATCATTCTAAACATGCCTGCATCATTCACAAAATGCCTGCATTATTCTCAAAATGCCTGCATCATTCTCAAAATGCCTGCATTATTCTTAAAATGTTTGCAACATTCTCAAAATGCCTGCATCATTGTCAAAATGTCTGTATCATTCTCAAAATGTCTGAATCTATCTCAAATTGTCTGTATCATTCTCAAAATGCCTGTATCATTCTCAAAATGCCTGCATCATTCTCAAAATGCCTGCATCATTCTCAAAATGTCTGCATCATTCTCAAAATGCCTGCATCATTCTCATAATGTCTTAATCATTTTCAAAATGCCTGCATCATTCTCAAAATGCCTGCATCTATCTCAAAATGTCTGCATCATTCTCAAAATGCCTGTATCATTCTCAAAATGCCTGCATCTATCTCAAAATGCCTGCAGCATTCTCAAAATGTCTGCATCTATATCAAAATGCCTGCAGCATTCTCAAAATACTTACATCATTCTTGAAATATATGCATATATGCAAGTATGTCGTTAACACACTCTGTTTACAGCAAACACAACTGAAGAAAAGATTTCAAAGGAATAAAAGCCCGTATTTTAGGGGGAGGATATGGGGTAAAAAAACCCAAATTTCAAATAAAATATTGAATGGTTTAATTGGGGAATAAATTTATCTATAACCGTTCTTTAAAACTTAAAACGAAAGAAACCGTTTCCCATATTTTTTAAATCTATCGGGACGTTTTTAACCACTTTTGTATCGTTGGGAGGTACGTGTCTTTGGGGTTTATTAAATCATGTCGTTTCAATGATACATTGATTTTTGATCAACTGGAATACCATGAGTCTGATAATTTGACCACCAGGAATCTCATCAAAATACGAATTTTTCCCTTCTATGTTGCCCCGAAATGTTCTTATTCCCGCTGATTTCTAGAATACATAATAAAACTTCTAGAATATATGATACCAAAATAAGTCTAGTTTAATGAATTAATGCGCACTTTACAAATTCATTATGAACAATTTGAAAAAAGAACCATTTTGGGAATTGAAAACCTGCAAATACTGTACTTGTCAAACTGTACGATGGAATAATTGGTTAGTTGAATCAAAGGTTTGTTAAAATTGTTTTTTAAGCTTAAAGATAATATGCAATTGATTAATTTTCATTTAAAGTGTTAGATAAGTAACCTTGTGACATTTCAAAAGGAGCATTGCTGGACGACGACGCCTTGAATGTATTCCTCTCCATTCTCTTTATAATCTTCTGCTGCTTCTTTAATCTTCTCTGTCTCCTCCTGTAACAACTCATTATCTATTATACTGTCAATATTGTCTCCTGTTACAACTCATTATTTATTATACTGTCAATATTGCCTCCTGTAACAACTCATTATCTATTATACTGTCAATATTGCCTCCTGTAACAACTCATTATCTATTAAACTGTCAATATTGCCTCCTGTAACAACTCATTATCTATTATACAGTCAATATTGCCTCCTGTAACAACTCATTATCTATTATACTGTCAATATTGCCCCCTGTAACAACTCATTATATATTATACTGTCAATATTGCCCCCTGTAACAACTCATTATCTATTATACTGTCAATATTGCCTCCCGTAACAACTCATTATCTATTTAATGTCAATATTGCCTCCTGTAACAACTCATTATCTATTATACTGTCAATATTGCCTCCTGTAACAACTCATTATCTATTATACTGTCAATATTGCCCCCTGTAACAACTCATTATATATTTTACTGTCAATATTGCCCCCTGTAACAACTCATTATCTATTATACTGTCAATATTGCCTCCCGTAACAACTCATTATCTATTATAATGTCAATATTGCCTCCTGTAACAACTCATTATCTATTATACTGTCAATATTGCCTCCTGTAACAACTCATTATCTATTATACTGTGTCAATATTGTCTCCTGTAACAACTCATTATCTATTATAATGTCAATATTGCCTCCTGTAACAACTCATTATCTATTATACTGTCAATATTGTCTCCTGTAACAACTCATTATCTATTATAATGTCAATATTGCCTCCTGTAACAACTCATTATCTATTATACTGTCAATATTGCCCCCTGTAACAACTCATTATCTATTATACTGTCAATATTGCCCCCTGTAACAACTCATTATCTATTATACTGTCAATATTGCCTCCTGTAACAACTCATTATCTATTATACTGTCAATATTACCACCTGTAACAACTCATTATCTATTATAATGTCAATATTGTCTCCTGTAACAACTCATTATCTATTATAATGTCAATATTGCCTCCTGTAACAACTCATTATCTATTATAATGTCAATATTGTCTCCTGTACCAACTCATTTATATATTATACTGTCAATATTGCCTCCTGTAACAACTCATTATCTATTATACTGTCAATATTGTCTCCTGTAACAACTCATTATCTATTATACTGTCAATATTGTCTCCTGTAAACAACTCATTATCTATTATAATGTCAATATGCCCCTTGTAACAACTCATTATCTATTATACTGTCAATATTGCCTCCTGTAACAACTCATTATCTATTATACTGTCAATATTACCACCTGTAACAACTCATTATCTATTATACTGTCAATATTGCCCCCTGTAACAACTCATTATCTATTATAATGTCAATATTGCCCCCTGTAACAACTCATTATCTATTATACTGTCAATATTGCCCCCTGTAACAACTCATTATCTATATATACTGTCAATATTGCCTCCTGTAACAACTCATTATCTATTATAATGTCAATATTGCCCCCTGTAAACAACTCATTATCTATTATACTGTCAATATTGTCTCCTGTAACAACTCATTATCTATTATACTGTCAATATTGCCCCCTGTAACAACTCATTATCTATTATACTGTCAATATTGCCTCCTGTAACAACTCATTATCTATTATACTGTCAATATTGTCTCCTGTAACAACTCATTATCTATTATACTGTCAATATTGCCTCCTGTAACAACTCATTATCTATTATACTGTCAATATTGCCTCCCGTAACAACTCAGTATCTATTATACTGTCAATATTGCCTCCCGTAACAACTCATTACCTATTATACTGTCAATATTGCCTCCTGTAACAACTCATTATCTAAATACTGTCAATATTGTTGGTGAATATCACAATACATTACTCTGACGTTAATTTGTTGAACTTGAGAAACGAATTAGCACTGGCTTTGATGATGGAAAAGAAAGGGATTTTTTATATCGAAATACAAATATTGATACCAACAATATGAGTCTGATCAAGTAAGCTCGGCGGGGTTTTCCTGACTCTTTACTAACGTCAAAGTATAATTTTTCGGCTGCAACGGCAAAGGATTATAGACTATTTAATGAAATCACTCATATATGATAACGATAAAGTGGTTAACTATTAAACTGTGTATTTTATCTTTTACGTTAAATATAAACTACTTTTACACTTACAATTATTTCAGAGTCACGTTATTCACGACTTACAGCTTTACGGTCATGCACTAAAAAGGGCCATGAATTATTAAATAAATCATTTGGTAATTTTTTACGTTCTTTTTCCGCATATTTAAGTAAGGAAGAAAATGTTCTAGAGTAATTTCCAAATTCAAGTATAGCCGTAATACTGTTTGAGTCAGGCGATGGTTATATGAATTGAATGCATCAAGATGTTTAAAACTTACTTTCGGTGTCTGACAAGGGGCTGTAGTTTCCCCTGTTCAATGCATTTATGTTTAGACATTTTCTTTTTTGTTTAATAAATAACGATTCCTTTTCCAGTTCATAACATAAGTTAATTTGTACTTGCGTTCTTTATATATTTTATGCTATTTTTTCCTGTTAAAGAATGAACAATTACCATTTCCTTGGTAAATGCATAAAAATAAAGAGCGGGGTTGCATCAAATTAGTTAGTACTGATTAAGTTATTTCGAGGGATTAATACAGCATAAAAAACAAAAAAAAAAGTAATTTTAATTTTTTTGGGCCCCAAAAAATATAATAGAAAAAAAAATTTTTTGAATAGGGTAACTTCGTTTGTCCAGGGTGGAGGTGGTTTTAACCCAAATTTTCAACATTAAAGTGTTTAAAACAAAAAATTGGGGGGTTTTTTAAATAACAATTTAAAATTAATTTTTAAAAAATGTGTTTTTAAAATATTATTGGAAAAGATGGAAAATATTTAAAAGTTAATGTATTAAACAAGGATGTTTAATATAAGTGGACTTGATATGGTATAAGATGATGACATATTTCAACAGTTAATGTATTAAACAAGCGATGTTGATATATAAGTGGACTTGATATGGTATAAGATGATGACATATTTTAAATCTGGATTACTTGTGATCCATTTATTAATGCAAAATGTGAATTGTTATCTCTAAATTGTATCCCAAAATGAGCTACACATAATGCAAATAAGCTTTTTGTATCATTTTGAACATGTGCTTAAGTGTATAAAAAGATTTGTGGTCAAAGTAAGTTATATCCAGCAATGAAAACAAAAAAAATCATCATTCATTTTCATCATCGTTATCACGTGACCTGGTACCCGGCTCAAATATTATTCTTACCTCCACCAAAACAAAAGCGCGAATACAATGGTAACCACTGCCAGGATTCCAAACATACTTCCAATGGCAATACTGAGAGTCTTGTTATCTTTGTTGTATTCTGGCGCATGCGTACTTTGCCTCTTCGTAGTTTGGTCTATTGAGAGAAAAAAATGTAAAACTGTATGTCTTTTGATAAATTGAAGTTATAGATAACACTTTATACTAATATCGTTGATCGTTTTGATTCAAGATATAGTTACAAGTATTACAGCCTGTGTTGGAAAATACTTGATTTATTTAGTACCTTTTACATTCAGAAGAGTAGCATCTACAGTTAAGCTATATATGTTTAATAGAAAGAAAATTCATGAACTTTTTTGGGTTTAAGAAGCGGATTTAAAAATGATGAATATAACTTGCAAGAACTTGTTTCATAGATGAAGTTAAGTAAAAATGAAAAATGTTAAAACTAAATTAAATCTAAAAACGAATTAATAATAAGTTGTATTACGTCAGAAGGGCCGCATGCCATATTGTCTTAAAATCGAAGTTAAAGTGATAAATGCGGCCACACCGACAACCAAAAATTGCCCCTCAATCAATCAATCAATCAATCAATCATAAACTGCATAAATCAAATAAAGATAGAGTTACCGTTTGGTTGGTTACACATTGCCCCCTCATAGCCTGGCTTACAATATAGACAGCTGTCTGACTGGTTACACACTAAACAATTCTCCGGACACTCTAAGTCACAATTTGTTCCAAATTTTTCATGCTTACAATATCTACAAGTTTCGCCCATATAATTAGATGTACAGTTGCAACTTCCGGTCTTTTTGTCGCACTCCACTGTATCACAACCTTTGCTGCATATTTGTGAACAGTTTATACCAAAGTAACCTGGCTTACACTCAGTGCAGTCTGATTCCGAAATACAAGAAATACATCGTTGTGGACATGGTAAAGTACAGTTTTCGACTGACTTTGTTTTGTAATATCCATCCGCGCATTCTTTGCAGTGCTGGTAATAATAGCACGATTTACATTGAGGATTACATTTATTTATACAGTTATCAGTCCACGGGCCATAACTGTTGCCGTCATGCCAAAATCCGTTATAATAGCCGTCGTGACACTTGTCACATACAGATGGGCTATTTTGTTCACAGTTTATACAGTTCACGGGACACGTGTAGAAGCAGCTATCACCCCAGTATCCATCAATACAGCCATTTTCACAAGTGCTGTTCATATTGCAGTTTGAAGTGCGACAACAGGCACATGGCTTATGAAAGCATTGGTCGTCACATACTGGAATATAGTAAAAACATATAAATGTGTTAACAATTCCACAAAGTATAAATGTTTTACACTTGTCATGAACATTTTAAACTTGATTCAGATCATTCAACCCTTTATCATAAACAAACGAATTAGTTGTTTGTTTCAATCACAGGAGTACTAGCTGATTCTGGTATGTACTGGTTGCTTTGGTAGAATCACTTGTCATCAGCAGACAAAGTGTTAGCTAATCTCGGCAGACTTAGATTAGTCGAGCGCGAATAATATCGGATATACAGTAGTGTCTTATAAGTAATGATAGATTGAAGCTCAGATAACAAGTTTTATACGGTGTCCTTATCGTGCCATTTAGAATGTCGTCCGTCGCATCTAAGGGTAGACACACGACAATGCGAAGTGACATCGCGACAATGCGAAGCGACGCTCGACAACGCGAAGCGATATGCGACAATGCGAAGCGACGCTCGACAGTGTCAAACGATATGTCGCACTGTCGCCTAGAAATGTCGCGGTAAAAAAGGGCGACATTTAAGAAATGTCGCTTCGCGTTGTCGAGTGTCGCTTCGCATTGTCGAGCGTCGCTTCGCGTTGTCGCGATGTCACTTCGCGTTGTCGCGATGTCACTTCGCGTTGTCGCATTGTCACTTCGCATTGTCGAGTGTCGAGGTTGGTAGAAGTGCATACCACGACACTCGACAATGCGAAACGACAACGCGACAATGCGATACGACGCTCGACAATGCGAAGTGACACTCGACATCGCGAAGCGACATTTTTAAAATGTCGAGTAAATGTCGCGTTATTTTTATGATTTTTACACCGCGACACTCAACATTGCGAAGCGACACTCGACAATGCGAAGCGACACTCGACAACGCGAAGCGATACTCGACAACGCGAAGCGACACTCGACAATGCGAAGCGACATTTGGAATAATATCGTATCGCATTGTCGTGCGTCTACCGGTGCATGGCCAGAATTTACTAACTCACCGACAAACGGTGCGATCATGGAAGGGGTCGCACTAAACTGCTGACGAATAAGCTGACGATATAGAATATATAGGAAACTGCTGACCAGTAAAATAAAGAAGGATTTTCGGAAAATGCTGACCAGTTACACAAAGAAGGGAAACATTGAAGGTGTGAAGTTATATAAACACGCCGTAGGGGGTAATAAAAAGATGGGAAATTACTTTTATTCTTTTAATTATATTTTTAATTTTTGCATTTATATGACTATGTTTATAAACTAAATTAATATATACATTTAAAGTACCATAATATCATACATTTTAACACGGATTTACATTACTACATGTAATATAAATCCGTGATTTTAAAAGGATATATTAAACAGCTTTTTATACCTCTAAAGATATGCAAAAATTTGAATTAATGTTTTATAAAGAATTATGATGTTTTGAGTTTTATCAAAATCTCTTGTTAGTGATATTTCAATAGAAAAATCTTGTAACGGAAAAAAAATGTATTTTCAAAAGCAATAATTGCAATTTGAATTAATATTAAATAAGTCAGCAGTGTTTTAACTTAATTAAATGTCGACAAAATTTTATACAATATATTGAATTTCGTACATTATAAAATGAATTAAAATTTCACGACAAAATATATTTTTTTCTATATTTCTAACTGGTCAGCAGTTTCCCTATATATCTAACTGGTCAGCAGATTCTACTACATGTGTATATGTTTAACTGGTCAGCATTTTCTCGCCTGAATGTAAAGAGCGTTAAATTTGCTAACCATATAGAATAAGAAGAGTTTTACGGCTTAAATCAATTTGAAATAACATTAAATTGGTCAGCAGTGTTTTTACTTAATTAAATGTCGACATAATTTTATAAAATAAATTGAATTTGCATACATAATAAAAATGAATTACAATTTCACGGCAAAATATATTTTTCTCTATATATCTAACTGGTCAGCAGTTTCCCTATATATCTAACTGGTCAGCAGATTCTACTATATGTTTAACTGGTCAGCATTTTCTCGCCTGAATGTGAAAGAGCGTTAAATTTGCTGACCATATAGAATAAGAAGAGTTTTACGGCTTAAATCAATTTGAATTAACATTAAATTGGTCAGCAGTGTTTTTACTTAATTAAATGTCGACATGATTTTATATAATATATAAAATTTGCATACATTATAAAATGAGTAACAATTTCACGGCAAAATATATATTTTTCTATATTTCTAACTGGTCAGCAGTTTCCCTATATATCTAACTGGTCAGCAGATTCTACTATATGTTTAACTGGTCAGCATTTTCTCGCCTGAATGTAAAGAGCGTTAAATTTGCTGACCATATAGAATAAGAAGACTTTTACGGCTTAAATCAATTTGAAATAATATTAAATTGGTCAGCAGTGTTTTTACTTAATTAAATGTCGACATAATTTTATAAAATAAATTGAATTTGCATACATTATAAAATGAATTACAATTTCACGGCAAAATATATTTTTCTCTATATATCTAACTGGTCAGCAGTTTCCCTATATATCTAACTGGTCAGCAGATTCTACTATATGTTTAACTGGTCAGCATTTTCTCGCCTGAATGTAAAGAGCGTTAAATTTGCTGACCATATAGAATAAGAGAGTTTTACGGCTTAAATCAATTTGAATTAACATTAAATTGGTCAGCAGTGTTTTTACTTAATTAAATGTCGACATTATTTTATAAAATATATTAAATTTGCATAATGAGTAACAATTTCGTAGCATTTAAATATATTTTTCTCTATATATCTAACTTTTCAGCAGATTCTACAATATGGTCAGCATTTTAATAACATATTTTTGACTGTTTATTGTATTTTGTCATAGATAAATCAAGAATGACACGTCGCGTGTGAAATCGATTTTAATATGACCTTGGGGCATATCGATCTCGATAAATTATCAGTTTAATGGATATCTGTGGAAACATGTTGTTTATAATGTAATAAAAGCTTATTAACTATAACAATTAGCACATTATAAATTTTTGTTCAATATTACTTATACAATTATACGAACAACAAATAAGGAAACAGAAATCACTTTATTTCATATTTGCACTAAATACGACATAATAATTATATTTTGTTAAAATATACATTGCGTATATGTACATGTATATATTTTAACCTATGATGCATAGTTTTATACATACTTGAAACAAATTATGATTTTTCGTACATCATATTTTGACTACATTTTTAAAATTTTAACCAATATATAACACATAGAAGAAAATTCATTAAGGTACTTAAATAAAATATTATATCAAAATAAATTGAGAAATATACAGTATATATCAATTGAATTTTTTATAATTAATATGTATCATTTGTAATATTGACATCTTGGAAAACATTTTATCAAGTATTTCTCGACCTCGCCTGTAATATCACCAACGGCAATTTGACACCTTCATTGTTTTCCCTTCTTTATCTAACTGGTCAGCAGTTTTCGATAATCCTTCTTTGTTTAACTGGTCAGCAGTTTCCTATATATTCTATATCGTCAGCTAATTCGTCAGCAGTTTAGTGCGACCCCTTCCATGATCGCACCGTTTGTCGGTGAGTTAGTAAATTCTGACCAAGCACCGGTAGACGCACGACAATGCGATACGATATTATTCCAAATGTCGCTTCGCATTGTCGAGTGTCGCTTCGCGTTGTCGAGTATCGCTTCGCGTTGTCGAGTATCGCTTCACATTGTCGAGTGTCGCTTCGCAATGTTGAGCGTCGCGGTGTAAAAATCATAAAAATAACTCGACATTTACTCGACATTTTAAAAATGTCGCTTCGCGATGTCGAGTGTCACTTCGCATTGTCGAGCGTCGTATCGCATTGTCCGCGTTGTCGTTTCGCATTGTCGAGTGTCGTGGTATGCACTTCTACCAACCTCGACACTCGACAATGCGAAGTGACAATGCGACAACGCGAAGTGACATCGCGACAACGCGAAGTGACATCGCGACAACGCGAAGCGACGCTCGACAATGCGAAGCGACACTCGACAACGCGAAGCGACATTTCTTAAATGTCGCCCTTTTTTACCGCGACATTTCTAGGCGACAGTGCGACATATCGTTTGACACTGTCGAGCGTCGCTTCGCATTGTCGCATATCGCTTCGCGTTGTCGAGCGTCGCTTCGCATTGTCGCGATGTCACTTCGCATTGTCGTGTGTCTACCCTTAGATGCGACGGACGACATTCTAAATGGCACGATAAGGACACCGTAGTTTTACTTCTGTACATAATATTTATAATGATTAAACAGTACCGATATGTAGTAAGAAAATTTGATGCTTAACATTACCATTTTAACAGATATGTGATTTTTTTGGGTTTAGACTGTATTGGCCTTTTTCAGTGCTTTTAGCGCTTTGATGTTAAATTATCACAGAATATTGACTAAAGCGGTAAGACGTCAACTGCTTTAGGATGTTACAGGAAGTAAACTATGATTTAGGAATTACCACTATAGACAATGATACAAAGATTGAAAAATAGTGCTGATAACATAGTGAATATAGCAGGTATTGTGCCTCAACACTGTGATGATAAAATAGGTGATAACAAAGGTGATAAAATAGGTGATAACAGTATATAGAGATATTTGACAAAGGGTTAAATTTTAAACTTACAACTGTTGTAACACATTGTCAATAAAATTAACAATAGCCACGTCATGTTTGACTGGATCTGAAAATTGTAAAGATTTATTATTTTAATGTATAAACATTATTGGGAATATGATACAGATAAGAAACAATAATGTCAACAATGATACATATAAGAAACATATGCATGAAACAATAATGTCAACCATGAAACAGATAAGAAACATACACATGAAGCAATAATGTCAACCATGATACAGATAAGATACATACACATGAAACAATAATGTCAACCATGATACAGATAATATACATACACATGAAATAATAATGTCAACCATGATACAGATAATATACATACACATATAAAACAACAATGTCAACCATGAAACAGATAAGATACATACACATGAAACAATAATGTCAACCACGATACAGATAATATACATACACATGAAACAATAATGTCAACCACGATACAGATAAGATGCATACACATGAAACAACAATGTCAACCATGAAACAGATAAGATACATACACATGAAACAATAATGTCAACCACGATACAGATAATATACATACACATGAAACAATAATGTCGACCACGATACAGATAAGATACATACACATGAAACAACAATGTCAACCATGAAACAGATAAGATACATACACATGAAACAATAATGTCAACCACGATACAGATAAGATACATACACATGAAACAATAATGTCAACCATGATACAGATAAGATACATACACATGAAACAACAATGTCAACCATGAAACAGATAAGATACATACTCATGAAACAATAATGTCAACCATGATATAGATATTATACATATACATGAAACAACAATGTCAACCATGACACAGATAAGATACATAAACATGAAACAATAATGTCAACCATGATACAGATAAGATACATACTCATGAAACAATAATGTCAACCATGAAATAGATAATATACATACACATGAAACAATAATGTCAACCAATGTACAGATAAGACACATACACATGAAACAATAATGTCAACCATGATACAGATAAGACACATACACATGGAACAATAATGTCAACCATGATACAGATAAGATACATACGCATGAAAAAATGATGTCAACCATGATACAGATATGAAACATACTCATGGAACAATAATGTCAACCATGAAACAGATAAGATCGATAAACATGAAACAATAATGTCAACCATGATGCAGATAATATACGTACACATGAAACAATAATGTCAACCATAAAACAGATAAGAAACATACACATGAAACAATAATGTCAACCATGATACAGATAATATACATATACATGAAACAACAATGTCAACCATGATACAGATAAGATACATACACATGAAACAATAATGTCAACCATGATACAGATAAGAAACATATACATGAACAATTACGTCAACCATGATTGAAATAAAATACATACACATGAAACAATAATGTCAACCATGATACAGATAAGACACATACACATGGAACAATAATGTCAACCATGATACAGATAAGAAACATATACATGAACAATAATGTCAACCATGATACAGATAAGATACATACGCATGGAACAATAATGTCAACCATGATACAGATAATATACATATACATGGAACAATAATGTCAGCCATGATACAGATAAGATACATACACATGAAACAATATTGTTAACCATGATTCAGATAAGATACATACACATGAAACAATTATGTCAACCATGATACAGATAAGATACATACACATGAAACAACAATGTCAACCATGATACAGATAAGATACATACACATGAAACAATAATGTCAACCATGATACAGATAAGATACATACACATGAAACAACAATGTCAACCATGATACAGATAAGATACATACACATGAAACAACAATGTCAACCATGATACAGATAAGATACATACACATGAAACAATAATGTCAACCATGATACAGATAAGATACATACACATGAAACAATAATGTCAACCATGATACAGATGCGATACATACACATGAAACAACAATGTCAACCATGATACAGATAAGATACATACACATGAAACAATAATGTCAACCATGAAACAGATAAGAAACATAAACATAAAACAATATTGTCAACCATGATACAGATAAGATACATACACATGAAACATTAATGTCAACCATGATACAGATAAGATACATACACATGAAACAATATTGTTAACCATGACTCAGATAAGATACATACACATGAAACAATATTGTTAACCATGACTCAGATAAGATACATACACATGAAACAATAATGTCAACCATGATACAGATAAGATACATACACATGAAACAGTAATGTCAACCATGAAACAGATAAGAAACATAAACATGAAACAATATTGTCAAGCATGATACAGATAAGAAACATAAACATAAAACAATATTGTCAACCATGATACAGATAATATACATACGCATGGAACAATAATGTCAACCATGATACAGATAGAAACAATAATGTCCGCCATGATACAGATAAGATACATACACATGAAACAGTAATGTCAACCATGAAACAGATAAGAAACATAAACATGAAACAATATTGTCAAGCATGATACAGATAAGAAACATAAACATAAAACAATATTGTCAACCATGATACAGATAATATACATACGCATGGAACAATAATGTCAACCATGATACAGATAGAAACAACAATGTCAACCATGATACAGATCAGATACATACACATGAAACAATAATGTCAACCATGAAACAGATAAGAAACATAAACATAAAACAATATTGTCAACCATGATACAGATAAGATACATACACATGAAACAATAATGTCAACCATGATACAGATAAGATACATACACATGAAACAGTAATGTCAACCATGAAACAGATAAGAAACATAAACATGAAACAATATTGTCAAGCATGATACAGATAAGAAACATAAACATGAAACAATAATGTCAACCATGAAACAGATAAGAAACATAAACATGAAACAATAATGTCAACCATGATACAGATAAGAAACATAAACATGAAACAATAATGTCAACCATGAAACAGATAAGAAACATAAACATGAAACAATAATGTCAACCATGAAACAGATAAGAAACATAAACATGAAACATTAATGTCAACCATGAAACAGATAAGAAACATATCCATGAAACAATAATGTCAACCATGATACAGATAAGAAACATAAACATGAAGCAATAATGTCAACCATGATACAGATAATACATATACATGAAACATTAATGTCAATAATGTCAACCATGATACAGATAAGATACATGTACATGGAACAATAATGTCGTTCATTAAACAGATAAAAAACATAAACATTAAACAATGATGTCATTCATTAAACAAATAAGAAACATAAACATGAAACAATAAGGTCAACCATGATACAGATAAGAAATATAAACATGAAACAATAATGTCAACCATGATACAGATAAGGATCATGAAACAATATTGTCAACCATGATGCAGATCAGATATATGTACTTGAAACAATAATGTCAACCATGATACAGATAAGATACATAAACATGAAACAATAATGTCAACCATGATACGATTCAGATAAGATACATGTACATGAAACAATAATGTCAACCATGATACAGATAAGATACATAAACATGAAACAATAATGTCAACTATGATACGATTCAGATAAGATACATGTACATGAAACAATAATGTTATTCATTAAACAGATAAGATACATACACATGAAACAATAATGTTATTCATTAAACAGATAAGAAACATGTACATGAAACAATAATGTCATTCATTAAACAGATAAGAAACATAAACATGAAACAATAATGTCAACCATGATACAGATAAGAAACATAAACATGAAACAATAACGTTAACCATGATACAGATAAGAAACATAAACATGAAACAATAATGTCAACCATGAAACAGATAAGAAACATAAACATGAAAAAATAATGTCAACCATGAAACAGATAAGAAACATATCCATGAAACAATAATGTCAACCATGATACAGATAAGAAACATAAACATGAAGCGATAATGTCAACCATGCTACAGATAATACATATACATGAAACATTAATGTCAATACTGTCAACCATGATACAGATAAGATACATGAACATGAAATAATAATGTCGTTCATTAAACAGATAAGAAACATAAACATTAAACAATGATGTCATTCATTAAACAAATAAGAAACATAAACATGAAACAATAACGTCAACCATGATACAGATAAGAAATATAAACATGAAACAATAATGTCAACCATGATACAGATAAGGAACATGAAACAATATTGTCAACCATGATACAGATAAGAAACATAAACATAAAACAATAATGTCAACCATGATACAGATAAGAAACATAAACATGAAACAATAATGTCAACCATGATACAGATAATACATATACATGAAACATTAATGTCAATAATGTCAACCATGATACAGATAAGAAACATAAACATGAAACAATAATGTCAACCATGATACAGATAAGATACATATACATGAAACAATAATGTCAACCATGATACAGATAAGAAACATATACATGAAACAATAATGTCAATGATGATACAAACAGGAAATGTCGGAATTTCAATAAGACAATTCTCATCTAAACTAAACCTTGATGTTGAGATAACGAAAATGATTTTAGATTTCTTGAAGCCATTTGCTTTCATGAAATGCAAGTAGATTGTTTGACAGCTTATTCAAAGATATATCCAAATCGAGTATGTGTCATTAATATAATTTGGAAAAACAGGAATCTGTATTCGCAATGGTGCTTTTGTTTTTATTTATCTTCCTCTCTTTATTTATCTTCCTTTTTGTCCGAGACGCGAGAATCTATACATAAAGGTATGCACACTTGCAATATCGTAATGAAAAACGATGGATTTGTCGACTTAACCGGTTATTTTCCTTTAAAACAATTTCTCAATTATCTTATAGTCAATACAAACGATGTCGCTGTTTTGCATGTGATACGTCCTTGATTTTTTACACGCATGCGTGTTTCATAATATTCTTAGACTCATTTATATAGTGGCATATTTCTGCCACCAGATAACCATATAACTAACTGATTAATTAAGAGGTTAACTAGTTACGTAACTGGTTAACCTCTTAATTAACTAGTTAGTTAAGTGGTTAACTAGTAAAGTAACAAGTTTGTTTTTTTCAATAAATAAAAGATCATTACTGGAAATAAATGCATGTTAGTGCCTACAACTGCCATCCTTTTATTATTTCATCAACTTAATATTAAGTGGTTAACTAGTTATGTATACCTTTTTGTATAGATTCTCATTTTGACAACAGTTGAATACGCTCACGTAACTAGTTAACCACATAATTAACTAGTTAGTTAAGTGATTAACTAGTTACGTAACTAGTTAACCACTTAACATTTAGCTGGTAAAATGATAAAAGGATGGCAGTTGTAGGCAATTACATGCATTTGTTTTTATTTCCCGTTATGATAACCATATAACTAACTAGTTAATTAATAGATTAACCAATTACGTAAGTAGTTAACCTCTTAATTAACTAGTTAGTTATATGGTTATTTGGTGACAGAAGTATGCCACCATACATTTAGAATATTAATGTAAAATGATAATCTGATGTATAGTTATATAAGCCGCTTTTCTCTAGGGACGCAATGTAGATGGAACGAAACCGACTTTATTTACTACTGTCAATTCATCTTCGTTGAAATGAACTACTAAATTTAGGATAAAAACTGTCGTGAAAGATAAGTGTATTAGTATATTCATAACAGAGAGATTAATTACATTGATAACAATGTAAGGATAAACTGATAACAATGTAAGGATATATTGATAACAGTTGATACGCTCACGTATTGTGTTCAACTTAAAATATTATCATGATTCCTTCCTCTGATAATTTATAAATATTGTTCTGATAACATTAATATTAAATAGAGGTTAGACTGTTTATTTATAAAACGCGGAAGAATATATGTACATTGTATGTACTGTAATATATGTAACAATAATATTAAAGAAATGACAAAAAATATCCATATTTGTTTTTATTTTGCTAGTGATTTCAATTCATCAGCCGAATATTATAAATCAATTTAATTATAATGAAATGACTCATCATGTTATTCCTTAGATTTTTTTTCTTTATTCCAACACTGCACAGGGTTTTAATGTATATAATAATTATGTTCTTGTCAAGCGAACAAATAAAGCGATTTGAATCACTTTTGTCGCCTCAAAATATAAAAAATAACTCATATTTCAAACTTGTATAGGTAAAATACTGATAAAAGCAATTCTTGAAAGGAAACTTTACCAAGTCACTTTTATTTTAGACATTCGGCGGGTTCAGAGATCATCCTCGTTAAATACGGGACATGAAGACATTTAAATCAACAAAATCCTTGTATGTTGTTGTTATTGTTGTTTTGTTGTTGTTGGGTTTTTTTCTGTTTTTGATGTTGGTTTTTTGTTTGTTTGTTGTTTTTTTTGTTGATGTTTTTTTGGGGGGTGGTTTTCTTCTGGGAGAGGGGTCATATCCGCCAAACGTATATCAAGAGATTTTGCTGTAGTTTTTGGCTACTTTTACAGTGATTTCGATTTTGTTTTTAATAATCAATATGATATATTTCACGACAGTAAATATTGTTCACAGTAATAACAGTAAATATTGTTCACAGTAATGACAGTAAATATTGTTCACAGTAATGACAGTAAATATTGTTCACAGTAATGAATGCTGTTCAAATTAGAGATAGGAGACAGTTACAATAAGCATTACTTGAACTGTTGAACAGGAGCAGTGTCACTTATCTTTTTTTCTTTTCTCCGTGTTTCATTCTTTCTTTCATTCTTTCATTCTTTCATTCTTTCATTCTTTCATTCTTTCTTTCTTTCTTTCTATCTTTCTATCTTCAAGATGCCCAAGAAAACAAACTCTTTAACCACTTTACCCCACTAAGCAGTTTAACAATCTAAATTCCGTTATCTAATACAAGCAATAGGTCACCTACGCCGGAAAGGGCCGACATTTTGCGATTAAGATGAAAAGTAAACATTTTCAAACATTTTCAGTGTCACTTGTAGTTACATTAGGCTGTTTTAAATTATAAAAATTTAAGAAAAAATGTGCGTACCATGTGCGTTATATAAAAAATATGCATTAAACTGACAGCGCGATGCGTCATTTCATAATATGTAATAGGGAGACACATGCAAAATTTTCATTTCTTCGTTTTGAATTTTTCATTCATTATTCTGTAAATGTCCTCAAATGAAATTCATGCTGGGACTATAAATATGTCATTTTACCGTGATTTGAGTACATAAGATCATTTTAATGTTTTTGACATTAATTTGCCTGCGTATCCCTCTAAGGACTTAAATAGTTATGAATCAATTTATTTCAATACGAATTTCTGGATATTGATTTGATGACATTATATGTTAACATTCATCCCAATTTGTTGACTATTCACTCAACACTTTTGACGATTCCTCTATAAAACTGAACATTTAGAATTGAAAAATACATACCTAAATTTCTGTCAATTGACATAAGTAATCCTAATATTACGAGTATATACGTCAGTATGACTCAATGTACATTATAGGATAGTGATAGTGATATGAGATAACACCTATATTTATCGTTATCACATATATAATATCTCATGTTGAGCTCTTGTCATCTTTTTCCTGTATGGATTGTTAAACGTTGCAATATTTGATAAATTGAATTTTTGTTCTATATCCAATATTTATATTGTATAACTCTAATTTTATATGCTATACCATAATATTTATTCAATCCTGCTGAATATTTGTTCATCTTAAAAAATATTTGTGTGCGATAGTAATCTATATGTATGTTCTATATTTGAAAATATTTATTGTATAATTGAAAATATTTATTGTATAAATCTACTGAAAAATATTTATTCGATAATTTGAATCATGGGATAGAACACTTAGCATACTAAGCCCCGCCTATAAATTAAGCACGAATTTATGATAAAGCGTTTTATTACATGCTTTTCGGTGGTTTATAGAAATATATCAGTGATATAAAACAACTGGTAATTTCACTGTTTGAAAAATGTCTTTTTAAAACGTTTTTTTGCATATAATAAAAAGAAAATTTGTTTAGTTTAGTGTAAGATCAAAATATATTTCACCTTGTTCATATTTCACTCGTGAAATATACCTTTTGTTGCTCACTTGGTGAAATATATTCAGATCTTACACTGAACTAAACAAATATCCTCTATATCATGCTCATTAAACTAGACTATAGTGTACTGGAAATGATCAGCGTCCCTGTGAATGTCACTTGTAAATAGTGCATAATGCTTAATCCTCCTTATAAATGTATATGTATGTCTAAAGAATGGAAATAGATTTTAAAGTCTTCGGGACTTACAATCGTATAATAATGGTTTTTCATATGCCTAATAATTTATCCACGATATGAACGATGTGAGGATATCATGTAAGATGCATTTACATAAAAAAATACGGAACATAAATCGGAATATATCCAACAAGAAACATTAACAAATGAAAATGTTATCCCGTTAATGCAATGTGCATATAAAGCGACCCAGGCGGACGGTATAATTTTGAAATTTGACGTTAACGACGTCGCAATCGCATTGTCTTTAACGGAGCAGCTCTTTACTCGTGTACGAGCAGCTCTTTACTCATTTACGAAGTAGGCCAATACATGTTTTACATGTTGTTAATTGTTAATAGAAGTCGGTATCATATTGTATTGTAATATAATGTATGATTATAAATGAGCTCTTGTAATGACGCAAACTTTCATTTTTTCCTTCTGTAACTTGAATGCTGGAAACTCGCACATGTAATAAACTATTTTATCACACACACGTACCGATTTTGCGACTCCGTAAATATGGTATTGCACGGCCGTGCATATTATTTTGACGTGACGTCATTAGCGTTATACAAACATAGTGTAAAGTCGCGCTAAATGTTAGCGTTATACTATAGGCGCGTCGATGAAAAATGACTCTTATTTCACTTTAACGGTCTTTATTTTGGGTATGTGATGAATAGAATATTAAATTCGTGTAAGTTCGTTACTGAATTTATTGCACTCGTTGAATAAAATAATATTATGCTCGCCAGAGGCTCGCATAATATAATTTTATTCAACGCGTGCAATAAATTCAGTATTGAACTTACACTCATTCAATATCTTCTATATATGTGTTTTGCTGCATGAAAATGTATCATACATACAAGAAAATAAAAGAATAATACAACTAAGAACAAAATTGTCATTATTTAAAAAATAAATATAACGCATAACCAATTTTGAAATTGACTGTTAAATTGTTAAAAAAATCACCATAAGACCATAAGGTAGAATAGTAGAATGATTTATACAATTGTAAACCAAGATTATAATAATCGCACTGGCCATAGCTTAACAAACTTATATATTATAAACTGTTTCGCGCATGTCACGTGATGGTGGTCCTTCCGAATAATCCAGGCGGGGAACAATAGGGAAAATTTTTTGCTGGCGTCTTTAAGGGATTTGTTTAGTTAAGTTTAGGTGAGAATCAATCAGTGGTTAAACATACAAGATTGTCCCCGAGCGCTCAAGATTCATGGTCGAGTGATTTTCTATACACTTTACTGTTAGCTACATTTGCGTGAAATTTGTGAAAGGGATGTGACGGAAACGAAAGTATGGGAGATTTGGAATTGTTGCTTTTATTTTAGGACGTCGAAGAACTAAGTATCAATCAAAAATGTAAGTTATTTTATGTTTCATTAAAACTATATAGCCGAAACGTAATATTACTACACATGAAAATCGGGAAAGTGTTACTGTTTTTTAAAGGAAAAATTTAAATATTTCACAGACAATCCGGGAAATGTTATTGTATCACATAAAATTTGTAAATTATCAAATATTTTTCGTAGGTACAATTTGTTTGACACAAAGTTAAATTTGCCATGAATAAGGACTTAAATTATACATTTTGTAAATTAGCATTAATCATAATTAATTTTTCATGTGACGTTTCGATCATAGTTAACGGCATTTTTGACCATTATGATCATTATTCATATTTACTTACCATTGTAGCCATCTAATCAAGACCACCTGGTACTTAGTGTGATGGGGTGGGGGATTTCAAGTGTTGTAGGATTAAAGTTAAAAAAGTTCAAGTATTGACACGGATGATTGACGTGTGATATGTAAAAATGATGGCCATGTTGATGACAATGTTGTTGTTTATGGTAATGTTGATGAGGACGTCCATGGGTGTAACAATGATGATTAAATGCATAGGCACTTGGTTTCGGGATAAAATAACCCTTTGAGAGGTTTGTAGAACTCAAATATAATTGAATGTTACAATTTTTTTAACGTAGATGTCTCTTTTCTAAAACCGTCATTTTTCCGATATTACTAAAAAAAACACAAGGTAGCTCAGTCGCCATTTTTATCCGCAACGGAAGTGGTGTATAATTTACCGTACACGTACCGTTCCGAATCTGGTTCCCGCGAATCGTATAGGCAACTGCTTTGAAACCGGGCACCGGCACTGTTTGCCTGGTGACATAAAGTGGCGCTAATTTTGAATTGCAATAAAGGCGATATTTTTTAGCAACAGAGGCTGTATCCATATAAACTGTAAGGATGGACTTGGAAAAATGGTAACTTTATTACTACAACTTGATGTAACAGTCATAAAATTACCGATCTAGGTATATATTTACATATTAAAGGAACTCCACTGAGGTCCAAAAAGCAATAAAACATAGAACATGCTACTTTATTACACTGATCAAGTTTGGCACTAAAAGAGAAAGATTTACAATAGATAATTCAGGAATATGCTTAGAAATAAACTGAAAATCGTTTTGCTATTCCTAGCCCATTTTATGTGAAAAGTGTTGCAACCCTTTTCATTTTTTTTATTAACTTTCATAACATAATTATTCTGCTAAAACAGAGGAAATGAATGAACTGAAATTTTCCACAACCTTAAAAGTCAAAACTTAAATCAAATGGAACATAAATGGCAAAAAAAATCTCAAAAAACACCAGTGGAGTCCCTTTAATGATACTTAGCAGGAATGAAGACTGACTTTGAGGCATATTTATAGTAACATGAAGAAGCTAAACCCATCTCGATTGTCATTTGTTGTGGCAGGTATTATGAAATTATTAAAAAGCAGGAGAAATAGAATTTTTTAATAAATATTCATATTAATTATAGCTCTTATTGAATAATTTTTCAACCAAACTTTGCATGGGGATTGAAACAAAGACCTAACTTGGCAATGAAAAGGGAACTCTTATAAAAATAAGATAAAATTCATAAATTGACAGCAAGTTGAAGCTGTGATATGAAAGCTTACTTTTTTAGCTCGACTATTGAGAGCTATCCTTACCTCCTGAGCATTGGCATATTAACCACTCATGTTAAAGTTTTTGTACCACCTCAAGTCCACTGACATATAACACTGAACCTTTGCAGAGTCCATTGACATATGGGTTTGAAACTATGCACCCTTGTTCACCACCATGCCCAAAACCTATACACATGGAGGAGGTAACAAGCATTGTGACAGAATTATGCTCCTTTATCAATGTTTTTAATGAATAGAATGTTCTTCTTTGTTAATTTCATCATTATCCAGGTTGTTGGTATACTATCAAGTACTGAGAATAGTCAAGTGTGCTTGTCCAATTGATAGCTCTTGTTTTATTATTTTGTTGAAGTGTATACATGAACTCAATAATTTTAAATTAAAAATATATTTTCAAGTCTATATTGAGGCAAAACACCTTTAAAAATATTCTTTCTTTCATGTGCACAAATAAACACAACATTGTGAAGGGCAGACTATTTATTTACTAAAATTTATATATTTGACTGAGCAAAAATCCTTAGTATGTTCTATCTGGGATTTAAGTTATCTTAAGCCCCAGGTTCTATGTACAAATTATGTATAATCAGCATAAAAACACAATGTTGTAAATTTCAATCCAAGTTAATTGGATCTCAAGATTAAAGTAATAGAATAGATGTATTCTTAAAATATGAAATCAAGTAAACTTTGTGTTTTAATTTGAAATTTCAGATAAGTCTTTCCAAGTGAATCAGCAAATAAGAAAACAAATTTACATCTAACAATGAAATAATTAAATTGTCTTCTATAAACTGTTTTCTTTATTTTCTAAATAGAAAACTACTTAATATTTATAAAATGCTGCCACTAACTAGCATTTTATAGTGATTGATAAGGCAGCCTTTATTTACCCATAATGATATGATTTTATTCTTATTCACACTAATGTGCTGAAATTTAAGAATTATAGGCATTTCCTAAATTCACATGTATTAATATAGTACATCAATTTCCTGACTAATATATCACCAATTAAATTCATGATGAAGTCAGTTTTATTTTATGAAAATGACAATGTTGTTTTGATATTCTACATATAAATAGTGAATTTTTATATTGGTTGAAATTTAAAATGTTGCCTTTAACAATGAAACAAGTAATTGGTTATAGGTGTACACTGTATTATTTTCTTCTTGCAAACTAACATATACACCAAGAATTATATACATATATAGTGTATATACAGATTCTGTGGATATAATTTTATACTATCAGTTATGATAACAACAAATATTCTCCAGCACACTTTTATGTGTTTCCATTCATCAGTATCAATAGTTAACTTCATTTGATATGACTTCAGGTTTTATATTTTTTGTAATTAACAGAAATAACAAAAATGTAATGAATTTCAAATCATAGCATAATGATATAAAATTACATATGTATGTGTCTTTAATAAAAGTATCTTTGGCAACATATGAACTACTCAAGGTCATTTCCTCTATGCAATCCAAGTAAGATCCCTTTTAAACCCATAAGTACAACAAAATTTGGCAGATAATTTGTAAATTTTATAATTGAATATTTTCATAGTTTGCTTATAGATTTAACAGCATCATTTGCAATATTCTAGACATTTATGATGTAATTTAAAATAAGTATAAAATCTGTAATATCTTAACCAAAGGGAATAATAGACACATATTAATCAAATAGTTTTGAACAATTTTTACAACAAAGCCATTTATTTTTGTAGGTTAAAAGATCATATATTTCAAAGTGAAAATGGTCAAGTGTATCTGTCAGAAATAGAAAAAAAGCTTAGAGGACAGTTCAGTACACAAGAAATTGGCAGGGCTATGAGAAAAGTGTTTAAAGGAACTATTATTAAATCTGTGAGAAATAAAGAATTCTGGGCTAAAATTACCAAGTTATACATGGGTGTTGAGTGGAAAGGGAATGAAAACTTCCAAGAATCGAGGAATCAAGAAACTATGTCAGTTGAAAAAAGCATCACATACTCAAAACAAAGTGAATCTGTACCTGAAACAGAAAATTATGACAGCTCCCTGCAACAAGAATGTATTCAAGATATACAGCTAACTATGTCAGACCATGAAAATATGAAACAAATATTAAATTCAGTCAACACTTTTGAAAATTCAGCAGAAATCTTTAAAAAAATTAACTTGACAAACAAGCAAAGTATTCTCCTTAAATCACAAATGAGAAATATGCAAGGTGATCCTCATAGCAGACGGTGGAACCCCGAAGTCATCAGACTTTGTTTATCCATTTATTCTCGGTCACCTAAAAATTATGAATTCATCTCAAAAAGTGGATTTTTAATTCTGCCATCTTCTTCACATATTAGGAGATATAAGAATAAAGTTGATCAGAAGTCTGGCATTAATAAAGATGTGTTTTCCTGGATGAAAAGTGAAGCTTCTTTTCTTAACCTACCTAAAGAGGGATATGAAGGGGGACTATTAATTGATGAGATGTCCATTCAAGCTGATTTACAGTTAAAAAAGATTGGGCAAGAGTATAAGTTAATTGGCTTCACAGATGTTTGTACTGAATCAAATTATATGAGTAAACTTAGTGCAAACATGATTTAAAACTTGCCACACATGTTCTTCAATTTCTTTTTATTGGTCAAACTGGTTTCAGATTTCCAGTTGCACATTTCCCCACATTGCAAGCCAGTCCAAGTGAGCTATATGTTTTTTTAGTAATATCGGAAAAATGACGGTTTTAGGAAAGAGACATCTACGTTAAAAAAATCGTTACATTCAATCAAATTTGAGTTCTACAAACCTCTAAAAGGCTTTTTATCCCGAAACCAAGTGCCTATGATTAAATGACGTTGTTCAAGGTAGTGAGCATCAGGTAAATCTAGTTATTTATAGAAACTAGCTTTTTTAGAAACTGATTATTTTTAGACAAATGAGATCGTAAGTTTTATCAGTTTCAGAAGATGAAATTTCAAAAGGAACCAATGAACTTACAAGTAATCATACTATATCGGGCCATGCTTGTGGAACAAGAACAGCACACTTTATGCAACGTAAAACAGCATATTTTACATTTTGAAAATTTGACATTATAAGAAATTTGATATACATATATACATATAAATGGTATTATGTCAGTAACTGAAATTGCGTAGAATTACAAAATTTTATTTTAAAAATGAAGATTTTTTGTCAAAATTGAAAACTATGTTTTATGTTTATGCATATTGACGATATTTTGTGTGCATTGTGTATAAAGATTTTGGTTGTTTTGGTTTCTTTCTCAAATTTTTGGAGTTGGTGTGTGATTGGGCTTATTCGATTTGGGTTCTGTGTTTTAGTTTGTCTCTTTGTGGGAGTTGTTTATGTGTGTTATGGTAGTTTTTCTTTGTCTTTATTGGAGTTGTTAATGTCATTTGCGTGTTGTGGTAGTTTTTCTTTGTCGAAAATTCAGGCCTTACATGTATTTCTAAATAGTTGGGAATTGGTGGTCGATAAGACAGTTGATTCTTTGCTGATACATTGTGATCGATTTGAAAATTTTGGATTTTGTTATACTAGTCAAATTATTATTATTCATCATTTCAAATAGTTATATCAAATTCATTAGAAATGGGAGACACATAGTTATATTAAATTTTTAGCTGAATTTCATTAGAAATGGGAGACACATTTATAGTTATATTGAATTTTAGCTGTACAATACCCAATTTTGTATAATTATATTGATGTTTAATATGAGTAATGCGATAGTTTTGATATTAATATTTAGGTGGAGAATGCGACAATATATTAAAGAAAACATTGATTCTTTTAGATTTAGAACGTGACATTTCTAATAATGATTAACAATACTGATTGTTTTAGATGCAGAATGCGACATTTTAGACTAGTATAATATTATTGTTCTTTGGTTTTTCGTTTGTTTTCAGATGGCGTAAGAAAACATCACTGGATTACTTATGAAAGACAAAACTAGATAAAATTGTATATTTCTAAATATTACCACTATATATTTCAGACTATTGTTCGATTGATTGTAAAAAAATGTTTATTGATCATTGAGCAGACGTAAAACAGGAAATGGCGGAAAGAATCCTAGCAGACGACAGTTGTCGCGCAGATGCAATCATGCACCATATCAGATTGCCCGAAATTACGGACTGGCCTAGCTCTATACTGGACTCGCTTTCAGCAGGTTAGGGTTTTGAAAAAGGAAATCATAACTTTGTAATGTATGTCTTGTTTACTTTTTGATAAATAAACTTTCGTGTCAATGTACAAATTATGTAGACATATCATTCTTGTCTAATGTTTCATGAAACAAAATGAACCATTTTTAGCCAAACTGTTTGAAAAGGGAGTAAGCGCTATTTTAGTCACTTGGTCGTTTGTTCTTGTAAAACACTTCGTTTTGCAGATGTTTTGTGTGTAACTTCCTACTTCAGAATTCATTATGATTGTGTAACGGGGAATATAATCTAAACACCTTTAACTTTAAATATATAATTACATGTATGCCACTTGGTTACCTTGATTTAAAGCAGTCATGTTTAAAACAATAATTTAAGTTTACAATATATTCTTATCAAATTAGCATAATAATGCTGAGTTATGGGTCATTAAGAACATTTCAGTACTTTAAACAAATAACTTATAATCTTAGTTACAATTATTTTTAAAATGCTAAAAAATGTAACATTGTTAAAAATGTGACCATATTACCAATAGTGTATCCACAGGTAGCAGACGACAATAAATTGTAAAGTGGAAATTTGCGACTTCCGGTGTGTCTGCTACTCGATGTTGTGATCTCAGTTACTTCCCCTGACGTTCAGTGTTAAGGTATGTTTTTTGCCACAAATTTTTGCTAAACATAGAACAATACATTTTTCAGATAGGGGTTTGTGAGTCGCTGATTACACCTTGAACTCTGCAAAATATTTTAAATGGACTTGCCCATCTTCAAATCTGGACAAAATCATTTCTCATTTTAACGGAAATTTTCAAAATATGTACTGACTTTATATCGAATAGTGCAGATCATGAGCAGATGTCAAGGATATGCTGACTGATTTTGGTATGCACTGGTCGCACGGATACATGTATATTATGTTGGCACTAGAAGGCTGAGAGTTAATCAACATACCAAACAAAATAAACAGAAAGTACTGATTACAGTTCATTAATAAGGACAACTTTTAATTTGGTACAATGTTTGTATTTTCAAAGCATGTTAATTTCAGATGGAACATGACTTTTTGTAATCATGTTGCTTTTCTAGAAAAAAAAATATGAACTGAACATAATATAAATAACTATTCTTTCGGAGATCACTCGCATCCTTAAAGTATTACAATCTTAATACACAAAAATATACATTTAATAACTTAATTCACGAATAGGTAAAGATATCGGCACTACATTAGTGATTGTGCCGAAGGAAGGGAGATAATTATGAAGGGAGATAAAAATATCTCTTAATAAAATATCATAATTATTTCTAGTGCATAATGTGTATTTTGTAATGAATTGGTGACTTTGATTGTGGCACTCCGATAACATCTTAATTTTCAATCTATGAATAGATATTTTTTTAACCTATATTTCAGTTAAGGAAAGAACGAAAGATATGAAATGAGCACCGGCAAACTGATCTTGGCATGTTACATCCTTATCGCAGAACTGGAGCCTACTGATTAAGATGAGGTAATTGTAGGTTTTATGAATATATGTATAGATTTGTTTCTTAGCCTGCCCGAAAGGGAAAGTCATAAAGGGTTTTTCTGCAGAAAAGGCCCGGGAGCGTGCCTTTTGGTTTCGTTTGACCAGCCTCTTTTCTGTTTTTCCAAAATTTCCCAATTTTCCCCTTTGCAAAGTGATAATTTGTTTATATTTTTTAATGGACTGTTTTTTTTAAAAGAAAGTTGGAAAAAGGGGCCCTTTTTAAAAATATCCCCCAGGGTAAAAGCAAAGGGTCCAGATTCTGGGTATCCCCTGTAAATTTTGAAAATGGGATCTAAAAAAAAATAAAAGTGTAGTGAAAAAAGGAAAATTTTTAAAATTACAAAAAGCATTTACAGTCTACTTAAATTTTCCCCAAAAAAAAAGAAAGGGCCCCCAATATAAAAAATAATAGCCCTTACTGGGGTTTCACGTAGTAAGGGAAAAATTTGGGAAAAAAGTACGCGGGCTTCGGTTTGTTAAAAACTTAAATAAGCACATAAATAATTACTTGAATCTTAAATCCTTTTACTTCTCTTAAAATCTGAGTACATTTTTCTTAAGTTTGTTTCTCTTGAAAAATGATTGGCTTATCTGGAGGCGTGCAACTTTAAGGCTTGTATGAGACATGTTTTCATTTGGTCCTGAAACAGTACGGCATTGTGAAAAATGTTTCATGTTCGGGTTTGATAAAAAAAATTCTTTGCTTAACACAGATGCAGTAACCTTTGTTGTTGTTATTCAGTCATGAATTGCTTTGGCTAAGTAAATACATGTGCACATACACTTGTATCGAACATTTTTCTTCATAATAAAGGGCGTCCGTTACCGAGTGATTGAATGAATTCATTAACTTCAAATCATTCACACCCCCCTTCTTTCACTATCATGGGCAGCGACTTTGAATTCATGAATTTCGCAGAGAAAATTGGTGGTTCTACTCGAGTGCCCCACCGTGTCTAAAATAATTTAAAGAGGGCTATTTTGGACCTTCCGCCAGAAAAGCTGAAAAATTATTATTGTGCCGTCGAGACAGTAACCATTCACCTACTAAATTAGTGTTCTGGATCTGCCCTGCATTGAATTTGGAACAGTTCATTTGAAGTTTATGGAATTTCAATAACAAAATACAAATTTGAGCAGACGATAATATATAGCCTGGGCACGGAGTGCACGGGCCAATAGGTAAAGGGTTAAACCTAACCAAAATAATTGAACCATTGCAGTTAAGAATATACTAGAAATACTTAGAGAATGGTTTAATGACATCAAGTGAATAAAAGCTTTATGATCACTATTTGAGTAGGACGTAATTATTTCTTTGTTGTATTCCTGAATTCTATTTTGTGCATTTTTGAATAAGAGTAATGATAACATTGGTTTTTTTTAATTTGGTGGTTCAATCCGTGTGTCTGCTGTCTTTTGCAAGAGAAACGCAAAGCGTTACAAGTGATGTGAATATTTTATTCATTATACAAGTTAAATGTTGATGCTGCACATCAAAGACGCCGCCAAATGATGTGAACAGTCAATCAGCATTGAAAATCGTTCTCTATTACAGTTGAATATCCGAAGCACAAATCAATTTTTTCTCCATGTTCTTGGTATGTGCTCGTTGTTTAATAATTAAGTTGCATATTTTTGTGAAAAAGTAGAACCTAATGCATAAATTCACAAGGTAATGCCATGTCTGAAATTCTGAAATGTTTGTCTGTTGCGACAAAAATTGAAATGTCCGGTCAAAGCAAAATAAATCGGATATTTATCTGAATAATCTTTTGCTTTTTGAAAACAGTTTTTAGCTCGACTATTCGATAAGAATAAGTAAAGCTATTGTAGTCACCCGAGCGTCGGCGTCGGCATAACCACTTATGTTAAAGTTTTTGTAATACCTCAAATATTTTCAAAGTCCATTGACATATGGCTTTGAAACTTTGCACACTTGTTCACCATCATGACCCCAACCTGTAGACAGGAAGAGGTAACTGTATCAAGCATTTTGACAGAATTATGCCCCTTTTTCGACTTAGAATTTTTGTTAAAGTTTTTGTAATACCTCAAATATTTTCAAAGTCCATTGACATATGGCTTTGAAACTTTGCACACTTGTTCACCATCATGACCCCAACCTGTAGACAGGAGGAGGTAACTGTATCAAGCATTTTGACAGAATTATGCCCCTTTTTCGACTTAGAATTTTTGTTAAAGTTTTTGTAATACCTCAAATATTTTCAAAGTCCATTGACATATGGCTTTGAAACTTTGCACACTTGTTCACTATCATGACCCCAACCTGTAGACAGGAGGAGGTAACTGTATCAAGCATTTTGACAGAATTATGCCCCTTTTTCGACTTAGAATTTACATTTAAGTTTGCATACCACCTCATACATTTTCATATTCTATTGACATCTGGCTTTGAAACAAGTTGAAATTGTATACTCTTCCTTGAGAGCATAATAGGACTCTCTTCAAGGCCTATAACACTAACATGGATTTAAAGAAAAAAATGCCCTTTTGTTAACTTAAATTTTTTTACATTATCAAGGCTTTTGTTTTTTTACTATCAAGCACTAAGAATAGTCGAACGTTGCTGTCCTACTGCAACTCTTGTAGTGATTTAGTATGTTGTGTGGAAGTTAAAATACTACTGTGTTTTTTCATTTTGCGATGTGGAAAAATTAATTTAAATTTTTGAGGCATAAGTGCCTTTTAAAAAAACGTTTGGGGCTCTTTTAAATTGAATGCAGGGTATCATTATCTTTCATTTCAGAAAAAAAACATTTGGAAATTTAGGGAGATGAAAAAAAAAAAAAAAACCCTCTTTACAGTCAGCAAAATAACTATGCTTCCGGTTTGGAACTACTGTATGCCGTTACAACATATGTGACAGTTGATACGATTTGGTATCTTTCTGAAAATATCATGTTCAACTTCTGAATGGTGTTTTTTTTCTGCCAAGTTTAAGTAATATATTACCATGTAACTGTCTAAAATTTATGGCAATTATGAAGTAATGAGTTTTTGGCGTAGTAATAAAAACCATAAAAGGTGTTAGCTCGATTGGATTTTCTACATGAGCTTGAAAAAATAACACCTTCATAAATGCCGTGATGTGAACAGAATAGAAGGGATATTTTATTTGCTTTTTACATTGTACATCTTCTATTTACCAACACACTGTACCGTCAATGTATTGTAATGGCAATAATGAGTATAATTGCAATAATGAATAATGCACTTTTTTGCAATGTATATTTCAAGTGGTGTAATAAGTAAAATTTGATCAGGAATGTACATTTATTAAGACTTAATATATATGCAAACATACTGTACCGTTAACATAATGGCAATAGTAAAATTGCAGAAATGAATGATGCGCATTTTTTACAATGTATATTTCAAGAAGTGTAATAAGTAACATTTAATAGTTAATAAAGACATACTAGGCCGTACAATGAGAAAAAATGATAATTTAACAACGTCATGATAGAAACATCCATTTGAAATTTCTTAAGATTTAGATAATAATAACACCACCAAGAATATCACCACTACCACCGAAATCAACAGTAATGAAACATAACGAAAACTCCAACGATGAAATATTTCATCATTAAAAAACATGCAATGATGAAAAAATGAAATAAAATATTAAAATAATTGTTATAACGACCAGAAGAACAATAATGAACAAAAAAGAATGAAATAACAATATGAATGAAATAATATAAAAACAACAAAATGAAATAAAATAAACAATAAAGAAAAAATAATGAAATAAGATAAAATAAAAACGATAAAAAAATAATAAAAAAAATAGAAAATAAAAACAAATTGAAATAAGGTAACAAGAAATGGAATGAAAGAATAATATTGTCACAAGTGACCATTTAAATGTTTACCTATAACATGCTTGACCTTAAAGTGACCAGCCTTTGCCACCAGTATGCAGCCAGGCCATCCTGCACGTCCGTTCAGATTGACCAGGCTCTAAACCGTTGGCAGACCAATTTCAAATTTGATTTTATTCATGTTATATTCCCTAAATTGAGAATGAACGTATTCAGATACGGAAGCTGGACAAGTCCGCAATACTTGAAATATTTTAGATGAGTTTGAGTCTGGAAAAACACTTGAAATTTCTTAACTAACCTTGTGTCTGGAACAACACTTGAAATATGTTTACTTAATTAGAGTCTTAACTTAGTTTGAGTCTGGAACAATAATTGATATATCTAAAGTTAGTTCAAGTCTGGAAAAATGCTTAAAATATCTTAACTTATTTTGAGTCTTGAACAATACTAGAAATATCTAAACTTAGTTTGAGTCTGGAACAATACTTGAAATATCTTGACTTAGTTTGAGTCTGAATCAATATTTGAAATATTTTAACTAAGCTTGTGTCTGGAACAACACTTGAAATATCTTAACTTAGTTTGAGTCTGGAACAATACATGAAATATCTTAACTTAGTTTGAGTCTTGAACAATACTTGAAATATCTAACTTAATTTGAGTCTTTAACAATACTTGAAATATCTTAACTTAGTTTGAGTCTTGAACAATACTCGAAACATCTAAACTGAGTTTGAGTCTGGGACAACACTTTAAAATCTTGAAAATTCTAAACTTCGCTTGTGTCTGGAACAATACTTGAAACATCTTAACTGAGTTTGAGTTTGGAACAATACTTGAAATATCTTAACTGAGTTTGAGTCTGGGACAAAACTTGACATATCTTAACTTAGCTTGAGTCTGGAACAAGACTTGAAATATTTCAACTGAGTTTGAGTCTGGAACAACTTTTTAAATTTCTTAACTTAGCTTGTATCAGGAACAACACTTGAAATATCTTTACTTATTTGAGTTTTAACTTAGTTTAAGTCTAGAATAATAATTGAAATATCTAAACTTAGTTTGAGCCTGGAACAACACTTGAAATATCTCAAATAAGTTTGAGTCAAGAATACTTGAAACATCTTAACTGAGTTTGAGTCTGGGACAACACTTGAAATATCTTACCTCAGTTTGAGTCAGGAACAATACTTGAAATATTTTAACTGAGTTTAAGTCTGGAACAACACTTGAAATTTTGTTAACTTAGCTTGTATCTGGAACAATACTTGAAATATTTTAACTGAGTTTGAGGCTGGGACAAAACTTGAAATATCTTAACTTAGCTTGAGTCTGGAACAATACTTGAAATATTTCAACTGAGTTTGAGTCTGGAACAACTTTTTAAATTTCTTAACTTAGCTTGTATCAGGAACAACACTTGAAATATCTTTACTTATTTCAGTTTTAACTTAGTTTAAGTCTAGAATAATATTATAACTTGGTTTGAGTCTGAAACAATACTTGAAATATCTTAACCTAGTTTGAGTCTTGAACAATAATTTAAATATCTTAACTTAGTTTGAGTCTGGAACAATAATTGAAATATCATAACTTGGTTTGAGTCTGGAACCATACTTGAAATATCTTAACTTGGTTTAAGTCTTGAAGGATACTTGAAACATCTTAACTTAGTTTAAGTCTTAGAGAATACTTGAAATAATATAACTTTACTTAGTTTGATTTTTGAACAATAATTTATTTATCTTAGTTTGAGTCAGGAACAATACTTGAAATATCTTAACCTAGTTTGAGTCTTGAACAATAATTTAAATATCTTAACTTAGTTTGAGTCTGGAACAATAATTGAAATATCATAACTTGGTTTTGAGTCTGGAACAGTACTTGAAATATCTTAACCTAGTTTGAGTCTTGAACAATAATTTAAATATCTTAACTTAGTTTGAGTCTGGAACAATAATTGAAATATCATAACTTGGTTTGAGTCTGGAACAATACTTGAAGTATCTTTACTTAGTTTGAGTCTTGAAGAATAGTTGAACTATCATAGCTTAGTTTGAGTCTGGAACAATAATTGAAATACCATAACTAAGTTTGAGTCTGGAACAATACTTGAAATATCTTTACTAAGTTTGAGTCTTAAAGAATAGTTGAAATATGATAACTTAGTTTGAGTCTGGAACATCAAATATTTTTTACATATTTTGGTTTCATTGATTACTTGAGATGTTTTTATCAACAGTACTTTAGATTCTTTTTTTTAAACTCTGATTAACTCTGATTGAACTGTTAGAACTGAAATGAATTGACTTACGAATAATTATTCATAATTTGAATTTTCAATGCGTCATGAATAGTTCTTAAAAGAACTTTACTTGATTTGCGTCCTGTATACTTTAAGTTAAAAGACCTGCATTTACTAATGAAGTGCAAGAAAGATCTGGTTAACATGTGCACTAAACATGTTATGTTAAAATCATAAGAGCTTTCCGCACCATAGGTAGCACCTAACTTTATATTAAATATTGTATCATGCAACAGTTTTGTCTTTTATGCAGTTGATTGATATCATTGATTTTGTAAACAAAAACAATTACAAGTATTTTTGTATGCAAATTATTTTGAAAAACGATCAAATAAGACTGGAATTAAAAAGGATTTTTCTGAACGTGTTAAGTTATCTTTCCCCAATCTTTATTGATAATATACTTATCTATTTTTAACCTCCCCTAATATTTGTAAGATAGATTAACCTTCCCCGAAAAATACAAATTGTGTTAGGGGCCAGTAAACTCACTTATCCTTCATTATAAAGTCTATCTGATAGTAAGACTAAAGTGAAACCACTCAAACCTTTCAATATCAAGTCAAATGAAAATTGTAAATGGCGTAAAAACCAAATGGAAATCACGCTAACATTTCATTAAATCGGGTAGAGTAACCTCCCCTGAAAAATGCAAAGGCAGCACACCACACTAAATGAAGCCGCAGCTTCGAATGGCCAGGGAGGATTTCATGGATATAGTGACTATTGTGGATTTAAATGACTGGTTGTCTTTAAAATGCATTTTCAGCATGAAATTTGTTTTTGTGACATGTAATATGATCATTGGCAAATTCGAAAACATGGTTAGAAATCACATGCTGATAATTATTGATGTCAAGGTCGCCATTGTTTGTAAACATTGCTTTTAAACAGCATGCTCGGTGAAAAAAAGTAGTTTTACAGGGGGGTACAAACTTTCAGCAATAACAAAAAATCTACAAGGCCAAGCACCTATTTCTTTGTGATATTTTGCATGCACAGGGAGTTGCTAAAGCAGTGACAGAGTTTTTGTAGACCGTATATTTGCAGGTATTTTTTGCCGGAGGGACGAAAAATGTTGTTTTGGGTCTCGGACCACTATAGATTTTTGGCTTTTACGGAATGAATTGGATTTTTTTTAACTGCCTGACTGTTGCACATGGGATGATTTCATTACAGATTTGCAATGGTATGACATATATGTTCTTAACAAAATGTGTTTTCTTTTTCCAGGTTGTGTAGTTTGGGATCAGATTTATCAGACATATTGCTTGTAGGACATTGACGGCAGAAACTTGAAATTTAGTGTGGAGTGCTACCAAATTGCGCATGAAAACGAAGGGAAATCGCTCTTACCTTTCATTATTAAGTCAGATATAGTAACCTCCCATGATGAAAACAAAGGGAAATCACTATTACCTTTCATTAAGTCAGAGTAATCTCTCCTGAACAAACAAAGGGAAATCACTCTAACCTTAAATTATTAATCCAGATAGTGTAACCTCCCCTGAAGGGAACAAAGGGAAATCACTCCAACCTTTCTTTATTAAGCCAGATAGAGTAACCTCCCCTGAAGAAAACAAAGGGAAATCACTCTTACCTAAAATTATTTAGCCAGATAGAGTAACCTCTCCTGAAGAAAACAAAGGGAAATCACTCTTACCTAAAATTATTTAGCCAGGTAGAGTAACAACTTCCCCTGAAGAGAGAAAGGGAAATCATTCTAACCTTTCATTACGAAGTCAAATTGAGTAAGCTCCCCTAAACAAACAAAGGGTAATCACTCTGACCTTAAATTATTAATCCAGATAAAGTAGTTTCCCCTGAAGGTAACAAAGGGAAATCAGTCTAAACTTTCTTTATTAAGCCAGATAGAGTAACCTCCCCTGAAGAAAACAAAGGGAAATCACTCTAACCTTTCATTATTAAGTCAGATAACGTAACCTCCCCTGAAAAACAAAGGGAATCACTCTTACTTAAATTATTAATCCAGATCGAGTAACCCCCTTTTTCAGGGGGAGGTTACTCTATCTGACTTTTAATAATTTTAGGTAAGAGTGATTTCCCTTTGTTTTCTTCAGGGGAGGTTACTCTATCTGGCTAAATAATTTTAGGTAAAGTGATTTCCCTTTTTTTTTCAGGGGAGGTTACTCTATCTGACTTAATAATTTTAGGTAAGAGTGGTTTCCCTTTGTTTTCTTCGGGGGAGGTTACTTCTTTCTGGCTTAATAAAGAATGGTTAGAGTGATTTCCCTTTGT